ATTTTATCCACACAGCCTTGGGTGGGTGACTTATCAGGTCCAGGGGATGAGGCCCCCTTTTCCCTTTGTGTATAAGGATAAGAATGGCTTTTATTTGCTGAACCTGATTAACACAACTGATATCATCAATCAGAATGTAATTTCTGAAATCTACTGCTTCTAGCTGTCTATGACCTCTTGTCTCATTGGACCCAGAAGACTCTTATTTATCCTAAACACGGAACTAGATTAAGTGACCATAAATGATCTTTTCCATAAAATTATGGAGCCTCAGAGATAATCTAATTCAACTGTGCTTATTTTTACAGAAAAGAAAGCAGGATAAGTGATTTACCTGAGATCGTACAGATAGAGCCCATCTCTTAGTCTATTTTTTACTGCACAGATGTCAAATAATTGCTTTTTTGCCCTACGGTTGTTTGTATCCGCTCTGGATCAGTACGTATTAATCTCTAGGAAAAAAAGGAAGAACACTCTCCATGGGCCATTGTTAAACTACCTCTCTAGAGGAATGGTTCCACTTTTATTCTTTTTTCTTTGGAGAAAATGTGGGAAAAGTGTGATTCTAAAGTAAAAATGAAATTAGGTTCCTTGCTGATTGTGACTTGTGCTGTAAAGCTAATACAACTCCCAAGGAATGACCACTGTTTCACTTCTTGCATGCCCTAGAATTTCAACCCCTGCTGTCTGTTTTCCTAGAACTATCTCAAACACCACGCAATAACTTGGAGAGTTCATTCTCTAATGCTTTAAGACAGATTTTGGTTACTTCATTATGTGTTCATTTATTTGCTCATTAGTTTAACAAGTATCTATGAATGAGTACTATGTGCCAGGCACTATTTTAGGCACTGGGAACACACCAGTGAATACAACAAGGCCCCTTGCTCGTGGAGCTTAGATTTGAGGAATGGGAGATAAAGATAGTAATTAATAAAGTAAATATATAGTATATTAGATGTTGACAAGTGCTATGGAAAAAAATTTAGTAGACTAAAGGGATAGGAAGTGTCAGGAAAGTATGTGTGTGCGTATGCTGGGTTTTTAAAAATAATTTTATTTTTTGTTGTTGAGAATATACACAACAGAACATTTACCAGTTCAACTATTTCTACATGTATACTTCAGTGACACTGATTACATTCCCAGAGTTGTGCAACCATTCTCACCCTCCTTTTCCAAGTTGTTCCTCCCCCACTAACACAAACTCACTGCCCCCTAAGTTTTCTATCTAATCTTTTGAGTTACTGTTGTCACTTTGATCCCATATCAGTAGTTCTTAAAAGAGCACACTGCTCAAGACAAACATTGTTTACTAGTTAAGCTAAACTATTGTTTGGTTTTAAGAAGACTTCAGGGGATATTTTGGTTTAAGGTTTAAAGATTATCTCAGGGCAATCGTTTATTTAGCATAGCCAATCTTATTATTAAGGTGACACTTGAGGAAACACATGAAGCAAATTAGGGAGCAAATTCTGAGGCCATCTGGGGGAAGAGCATTCTAGACAGAGGGAACAGCAGGCATAAAGACCTATGGTGAGATTGTGTTTGGCGTGTTTGAGAAAGCTGGAACTGAGTGAGCAAGGAGTAGAGTGGTAGGAGATGAGGACAGAGGTGGGGCAAAAACCAGATAGTGTAGGACTTTGTTCACACTTGTAAGGACTCTGCCTTTTACTCTGAGTGAGAAGGAAGGCTCTGAGCAGAGGAGTGACACTATCTGATTTGTATGTTTTTCTTTTTTATTGAGGTAAAATTCATATAACATAAATTTGCAATTTTAATCATTTTAATGGGTACAATCCATTGGCATTTAGTACATTCCAGATGTTGTGCAACTATCAACAATATCTAGTTCCAGAATATTTCCATCACCCCAAAAGGAAGCCCTGTACCCATTAAGTACTCTTTCCATCCCCTTAGCCCCTGGCAACCACGAATCTGCTTTCTGCCTCTACGGATTTGCCTATTCTGGAAATTTCATATGAATGAAATACTGTAATATGTGTTTTTTTGTGTGACCAGCTTCTTCCACTGAGCATAAGGTTTTCAAGTTTCACTCATGTTGTAGCATGTACCTGTAAGTACTTCCTTCTTTTTTATGGCTGAATAATATTCTCTTGTATGAATATATTATATATTTTTTATTCATCATCTGCTGAAGGACATTTAGATATTTCTGCCTTTTGACAATTATGAATAATGCTGCTATGATATTCGTGTACAAGTTTTTGTGTGGACATATGCTTTCAGTTCTCTTGAGTATACACCGAGGAGTGGAATTGCTGGGTCATACGGTAATTCTATGTCTGACTTAAATTAGAAAAGCTCATTTTGGCTGTTATGGTAGATTGTATGAGGGCAAGGGCAAAAGCAGGGAGATCAGTTAGGAGGCTATTGCAACAGTTCAGGAACTAGATGATGATGGTTTGGACCAGAGTGATGCTAGTGGAGAGGGTGGGAACTGGTCAAATTCTAAGTATATATTGACAGTGGAGCCAAGAGGATTTGCTGACAGATTGTATTTGGATTGTAAGAGAAAGAGAGTAGTCAGGGATGCCTCTTCAGATTTTTTGACCTGAGAATTAAAAGGAGGGATTTTCCATTTAATGAGATAGAGAAAATCGAAGGAAGAGAAGGTTTGGGGAAAGATTTAGGATTTGGTTTTGGACATGCTGTGTTTGAGATGTCTGTTAGACATCCAAGTGGAGATGTCAAGTAGGTCATTGGAAATACAAGTCTGGAGTTGGAATGAAAAATACATTCAGGGGTTGTTAGTTTATGGAGGATATTTAAAGCCATGAGACTACATGAGGTCATTTAGAGATAACTCTAGATAGAGAAGAGAAGCAGCCCAAGGAATAAGCCTGGATATAATCCAAAGATTAGTCTGAGAGATGAGGAAGGACCAGCAAAGGAGGTTGCAAAAGAGCAGCCAGTGAGGTTGGAAGAGAAAACCATGAGAGTGTGGTGTACTGGAAGTCAAGTGAAGTTACTTGAGGAAGAATGAATTTTTCTTTCCTTTTCCTGCTGCTCTCACAAATTCCTTGAGGTAAGGGGCCTATGAACAGTGTCCTTCCATTTGGAGATGAGTACTGCTGTTTTTAGATGCCCAGGGTCATCTTTCCCAAAGGTGACTAAGCTGAAAAAGATTTCTGGTCTTCTGAATACTGCCCTCAAAACATACTGCTTATTGGGATTTAAAAGCTTGCGAGTGACCGTCTAAGATACAACTATTGGTCTGTCTCATCTGGAACAAAAGAGATAGAAGGAAACTCAAGACACACAGAAGAAACTAGTCTACAGGACTAACTGTCTACATGAACCGAAGCCTCATCTACCCTGAAATGAGAAGAACTAGAACTAGATGGTGTCCAGCTACCACTACCAGCTGTTCTAATCATCAGGGCCACAATAGATGGATCCTGATAGAATGGGAAAAAATGTGAAACAGAACCTCAAATTCTTAAAAAATCCAGAATTACTGGACTAGTTGAGACTAGAGGACTCCCTGAGACTATTGCCCTGAGATACTCTTTAAACCTTGAACCAAAAACATCTCCTGAGGTCACCTTTTAGCTATGTAACAGATTGGCTCATATAATAAAGAATATCACCCATGAGTACTGTGTTCCTTTAAAAAATCATCTATATGAAACCAAAAGGTCAACAGTTACTTTATTTTTTAACATTCATTCTACAAATATTTATTGAACACCTACATTGAGCTAGTTGCCATGCAGATATATTTTTAATTAATATTTTATTGTGTTTTCAGTGAAAGTTTACATAGCAAATTAGGTTCCCATCTGATAGTTTCTATACAGATTGTTCAGTGACATTAGTTATATTTTTCACAATGTGTCAAGGTCAACCAATTGCTTTAAAAAAAAAAAAAGATGAGAAGGTAAGGGGGCAGGGAAACTAGATTACTGGTAACAGAACGTCCAGAACAGAAATACTGAGAATGTTCGTGCATTGTGAAGAATGTAACCAATGTAACTGAACAATTTGTGTAGAAATTATTGAATAGGCACCTAACCTGCTTGTAAACTTTCACCAAAAACACAATAAAATATTATCTTAAAAAATATACTGCTTATTTTATATATATACCTTAAGCTTCATTGAGGGCATTTGTTCAAGAATTCAGTTAACAAATATTTGAGTGCCTTCTTTATGCTAGTTTCTCTGCTAGGCACTGGGAACATAGCAATGAACAAGATACATGGTCCCTGATTTCATGGAACACTAGTCTAATGGAGGAGAAAGACATTAAACAAATAATTACGTATATGAAGACTGCAAAAAAGAAATAGAAGTGCTTTGGGAGCACATTAAAAAAAAAAACCCAAAAACACCAAACCCATTGCTGTCAAGTCGATTCTGACACATAGCCATCCTATGGGACAGAGTAGAACTGTCTCATAGGGTTTCCAAGGAGCACCTGGTGGATTCAAACTGCCTATCTTTTGGTTAGCAGCCGAGCTCTTAACCGTTATGCCACCAGGGCTCCGGGGGCACATAGGAAGGTTACTAATCCAGACTTGGGATAGGGGTGTAGTCAGAGAAATCTGGAGGAATTAATTAACATATAAGGGGAAACCTGAAGAAGGAGATTTAATTAAACAAGTGAACAAAAGTGGAGGTTGTGAGAAGAACATCCAGACAGAGAAAAAAGGGAAGAGGGAGATTTGGGATACTTAGGGAACCTAAAGAACTTCATCTTTCTGGAATGTAAAATGTGAGGAGAGGTGAAGGGTGAAAGATGAGGCTGGAGAGGTAAGCAGAGGTCAAATCATAAGGACTTTCTTGCCATGCTAAAGAATTTGAACTCAATCCCAACAGCAATGGGGAACCACTGAAGAGTTTTAAAAGCACACCTGGATATTCATTTTAGAAAGATCACTCAGGCTACAATTGTGTATAGGTTGGAAAGAGTCCTGCCTAGAGGCAGGAAAACCCACTTTCTTAAAATATTTGGCCCTCGATTTTTATTCTAGTGCACCATTTGAAGTGCCAAAGCTGAAGAGTGGGAAGAGCATGCTGGAGGCTGAGAGTGAGAGCTTGGATAGCTATACAGCTGACTCCGATAGCACCTCCAGGTGAGATTTCCCCATTCCTGGTGCCTCCACTTAGCCCGGAGCTCCTATTTTGTTCTCTATCATTAGCATCAGGATGCAGGACTCCTTTGCCTTTGGTGTTGCTGATTTCTATCCTCAGGCAGGAAGTTGAATGAAGTATTTGCTCTGACCTTGCCAGAAGTCTTTCAGTAACACTTCTACTGATTTGGCTCTGAGCACAGCTGCCTGGATCATGTTAACTTCCACAGGCTGCTACGTCTTAAAGGGCTCTTCTTAGCCCAGCAGCAACTGACTGCTGCTGGCCCTTAGGAATGGAGGTGTGAGTGTGTGTTTGTGGAAAGTCGCTTGTCTGATCTTCTACATCCCTCAAGGTACTGTAAATCAGCTATGCAGCTTACCTTCTGATTTGGTTACTACAATGACCCAAAGCCAGTGGCTCTCCTTCCATAAAGGTTTGGTCCCTTGATGGAAGGGGATGGGGAGGAGGTGATTTAGCTATAACTTCTGTATCTACCTTCAGGAGAGACTCTCTGGATAAATCTGGCCTCTTTCCGGAATGGAAGAAAATGTCTGCTCCCAAATCTCAAGTAGAAAAGGTAAGCTTTAGGTTATTGGCACATCTTTCTCCTCCTCCTCCCTTCCTCCTTTTTTTGTCAGGCAGAATTTAAATTGGGAATTCAACTAAATACATTTCAGTTCAGAGTCACTTGGGAGCATTTTCTAAGGTTTTGGTTGAAACGTGAGAAAATAGGTTTTGTACTACCTCCAAAGCATTTAATCTTTCTTTAAGTTTGATTCATAGTTAATTGAAAATCTGAGCCTTATTCTTCTTAAGGTTGCCCCTCCTTGCTCACTCCGCTCACCTACACAACCGCCCTTTGCCCTGTTCTTGTCCTTATTCCTTCCTAAGGAGTTCCTAGGCGGCGCAAATGGTAAAGCGCTGGACTACTAGCCAAGAGATTGGTGGTTTGAACCCACGCAGAGGCACCTCGGAAGACAGGCCTGGCGATCTGCTTCCAAAAGGTCACGGCCTTGAAAACCCTATAGAGCAATTCTACTCTGCACACATGGGGTCACCGTGAGTTGGAATTGACTCAATTCCAACTAACAATTCTTTCCTAGGAAACTCAGCCTGGGGGTCAAAATGTGGTATCTGTGGACGAGGGTGAAATGATATTCAAGAAGAACACCAGAAAAATCCTCAGGCCTTCAGGTAGCTAGTTTCCTTTCATGGCATTTTGAGACTGAAGTTCTGAATACCTTTGATGGACTCTTGGTATGGAGAAGAGTAGGTCTTTTTTGATTTGGGTTTTTGGTCTTCCACTCAGAGTACACTAAATCTGTGATAGATCTTCGCCCAGAAGATGTGGGACATGCAAGTGGCTCCTTGGGAGACAGAAGCAAATCTGTCCCAGGCCTCAGTGTGGATATGGTGAGTGCCCTTGTATTTCACTTGGTCACTGTATGACATTTTATTTATCTAGAGTTGCCTTTAGTACCTGATACTCTACATCAAACTTTTTAATTCTTTAAGAAAACATGGTTCTTGATTCACCCCCAAATTTCTAAAGGAAATCTGGCTCCTGATTTGCTTCAAGAAGAGGACTGCCTTCTCTGTCTCTTTTATCTTCTGATATATTGTGGGGCATATGGTTGGGGGCTCAAATAAATACTTATTCTGATTAAATTTAATGGAATGGCTGGGTTGGGGCAGTCAAATGGAAAGAGTTATAGCTCCTAGGAAAAACATGACATATTCTTACCTTATTCTTTTGAGATTTGAGAAAGATGGTTGGAATATAGTATGGAATCCTGAAATGGACAGGCATTTAAAGATAAGGGTATGTATGTTCATGCACACACGATGTCTCAGAACTTTGCAACAATTATGGTTCCCAATAAAACAAAATCTCTTCTCGTTTTTCTTAATTCTGAATCTGTATTTACTGTTCCAGGAAGAGGAAGAGGAAGAAGAGGAAGAAGACATTGACCACCTGGTGAAGTTGCATCGTCAGAAGCTAGCCAGAAGCAGCATGCGGAGTGGCTCTTCCATGGTAAGCTCTGTTAGTTCTTTGGTTATAGATGTGCTGGGGTGCCAGGAAGGAAGGAAGTACCTCCCTAGAGCAGAGTCAGGATCTAGAGAAATTATCTAGTCACTCGTTCCAGGTCAGTGAGATGCATTTCTTGTTTCTATCCTCAGTTTAGACCATAATTGATGAGTGTACATCTAGGTAACTTCCTGAGCCTCAGCCCTGGAAATTTTTAGGTAATTCAGGCTAAAGGCATTCTTTATCACGGTTTTGTGAATAGTGTCCATAACCTCTCCCCTTAAGAGGTCCTCAGGCCATGACATGAGCAGCATCAGATTTCTTCATTATAGTCCACTCCAGATTCTCACATTAAAGCGCAGTGCATGTCATGAGAAGGGCTCTGGCAGGGTTAATTGGCCTCAGGGTATGACTGAGGATCAATAATTCCAATCAGAATCACGATGTGAAAGGAGCATTTAAGAATAAAGGTCTGGGTCTGTCATTAGTTAGAAGATTGATATTTGAGGAGAAATAGAGTCGGGAGCAAGGGTGCTTAAAGTTTGTTCACACTCACACAGGAAGAGAATGCAGAGCAGAAGATGCCTTTTCACTTCTGGTGTTGGTTTTTTAAAAAAAAAATTTCCCCAATTCTGGCCCAGTCTCTTCTCTCTATAGATCTTGATAGAGAGAAGGTAGATAAAACAAATCCACAGATAATTAAGGCACCTGACTTGAATTACTAACTAACCCCTTCTAGTTAACTTTGTAGCATATATATAAAACATATACTGAAAATGGACTTAGTTTCACCTTGCCTGTACTCCTTGTCCACCTTCCAGATTAGGTGAAATTTGACAATTAAAATGTGTAAAAAGAGGGGAAGAAGAGAAGCTAAGAGTCTGGGTGAGCCATGAACTGATGGATGAACCTGAATATTGTGAGTGTGCTACTTAGCACTAGCTGCCTCTTATACTTTGAGTATAAGAGTATACTGGCTTGTTGTAGGGGCTTCTGAAACTTTTGTATAGTGACCATGACTTTGTCATGAGATGTGAGGGGGATATGGCTTCCCCAGATGTTTGTGGGTGCTTTATTTTCAGAGTACGATCGGCAGCGTGATGAGCATCTATAGTGAAGCTGGTGATTTCGGAAACGTTTCTGTGACGGGCAAGATTGCCTTTTCCCTGAAGTATGAGAAGCAAACGCAGACTCTGGTCATCCACGTGAAGGAGTGCTACCAGCTGGCCTATGCTGATGAAGCCAAGAAGCGTTCTAACCCGTGAGTGCGTTTGGAACCTGACTGATGCTCTGAGATGAGAGATCAGACCTTGATATCTGTCGGGGCACTCTTGAACTCAGATTATTACTTCCTAGGGGGACAGGGAAGTATGGTTGAGAGTAGTTAGGGGAGATATAGGAAAGGGACTAGGATTATGGAAAAGCAAGAAGGTTATATCTAAGAGGGCTTGAAATGAGATTTTCATTTTTTCATGGTATATGTATATTGAGAACAAGGAAGTGAAGAATGGATTTGAGAAAAGATGGTGAATTCATTTTCTCTCTGGTTTTCAGATATGTGAAGACTTATCTTCTGCCTGACAAGTCCCGCCAAGGAAAAAGAAAGACCAGCATCAAGCGGGATACCATTAACCCATTATATGATGAGATCCTGAGGGTAAGGATCTAGAACCTGAGGGTAGGAGAACTTGTTCTGCCTTATTCCTTAAGCTTTAGCTATTCCTCTGCAACATGGCTGGTTGACATCGGTTTCAGTGGGCCATGTCTATGTCTTAGGATACACTGTGGGCATCTGTTCACATCCTGACTTCACAGAGAAGAGAACAAAGGTGATCTGGCTTTCTTGGATTGCTGTGATGTTGGAAATTCACTTGGCTACAAATCTCATTTTAAAAAGTCATTTGGGTTAGGGAGACTCCTTGACAGTTCTTTTTGGATGTTCCAATGTGTCCTCACCCACTCAAGGAAAAAGTAACTAATTTTCTAGGTCCTCCTATCGAATATGGTAGGTTTTTGTGAAATGGAGTAAGTTGAAGCTTTGTGTAAGGAAACTCAAAGTGCTTGGGGACAAAGGTAATTTGATATTCAGGACTATGGACTTTGGATATGGTTGGTTAGGTTTTGGAATAATCATCTTTTCTGAAGAATTACCACTAACTAATCATCTTGGACTTCTACTTTTCCTTCACAGTATGAGATCCCAGAATCTCTCCTGACCCAGAAGACCTTGCAGTTCTCAGTTTGGCATCATGGTCGTTTTGGCAGAAACACTTTCCTTGGAGAGGCAGAGGTCCACATGGATTCCTGGAAGCTTGATAAGAAACTGGATCATTGCCTCCCTTTACATGGAAAGGTAGTCTGCATTAACAACTCCTTGCAGTTTGTATCTGAGGTAGAATTGTCTGCAGTGGCCTCTGCTGGTGGATATTGGTAGCTGCTTTGAATGTAGCCTTCTATAGAGTTCTCGTGCACCATGCTGGCGTTTCTGAGTTTGACCAATTTCAGATCCACTTGTATGTCAAGTTTGAGTAATCACTTCTGTATGTCAAGCGTGAAGCCATGGTTTTGCTTTGAAAAGTCTTTGCTGTGTGTGCTTAAGCTTTGCCTCATAACATTCCTGAGTGTGGTTATAACCTAACATCTTAACTCGCACCTCTTCTCCAGGCTAACCTCTGGGTGCATCCTAATCTGTATTTCTTTTCTAAGCTAACCTTCTCCTTAAAGAAGTGAGAAGTAAAGCAATTCATGGAGCTCCAGTTACTGTTTTCTTCACTCTTGGTCACACAGACCAGGGAAAATTTTACTTTGGAGATGGTATCTCAGGTGATAGTGTGGCAATGTGGCATATTACCTGGGATCTAAGTCACCTAACCTATAAAATAACTTAGACAAGTCACCTAACTTCTGTGAACCTCATTTTCTTCATTAATAATAACATCTCTTTTGCAGGATTGTATTCAAAGTACTTATCAGTGCCTGACACGTAATGGACATACAATAGATTACCATCATTCTGGTTAAGATGAAATTGCTAAAATAGAGTTAAGACTAGGTCAGCAACTTTTTGATTATCAGAACTGTACAACAGCAAAGTTCTTTAAAATTTTTGTTTTTACACTAGCATTTTCAGTGGTAAAAGTAGTACGTGGTGCATGTACTAGAATATCCTTGGACTTCTAAAGATATGCAAGAAACTAGTTATGGTGGCTGCCTCTAGGAAGGGGAACTGAGGTGGAAGGAAGATTTGGTTTTCTCTGTATGTCCCTTTGTACTGCTTATTAAAAAATTAAGAATAAAAAGATTACATGCACATGGTTCGAAATTAAACCAAAGTAGAGGCATATAAAAAGAAAAGTAGGCTCCAGTCCCTAGAAATAACCGCTGTTAACAACTACTTGGGTATCCGTCTAGAAATTTTGTATGAAGCAGCACAGATATATATCTATGTATTTATGTTTTTTTCTTTTACACAGATGAGCTCCTATGAACCCCATTGTCTGTATAATCTTGATTTTTTTTTCATTTAACAATGTATTATTTATCATGGACAGCCTTCTATGTCATCACTTACAGATCTATTTCATTATTTTAATTGCTGCATAGTATTTCTTTATGTGCTTGTATTATAACTTACGTACCATTCCCCCACTGGTAGACTTTTAGATTGCTTACGTTTTTATTTTTTGCTGCTAAAACTATGCTGTAATATAGATTAACCTTCTTTGTGAATGTAACTATAGAAGAAATTCCTGGTAGTGGAATTACTGAGCCAAAGAAAATGTACATTCAATATTTTGATAGCCACTGTCCTCATATATATAGTGATAGCATTGTCTGTCCCTTTAAATTCTGATGAAAACAGTAAAACAATTATCACCAAACTATAATGTGCCATTAGAAATTTAGAATTTCTTAATTATTTGGCACCCAAGTAATTCTGTAAGGAGCCTACAGTAGATATGAAGATATTAGAAATGTCACTGTAAACCATCATGAACTACTGCCAATAAAATGTCTTACATGAAATGAAAAAAAAATTGCATTAGAGTGGAAGTATTTGCTTTTTGCAAATATTTTGAGCCAGAATGAAAATCATGCTACTGAAACAAATATGCCAGCTTCAAGCTAATGCTAACCTCCAATTTTTAAGAGCACTGAAGTTCACAATCTAAAATTTAATAAATTATGTAGACATTTTATAAACAAACAAAAAGGCCATTCCAGTATCACATACCTATTTTAACCTAAAATACTCTACGGCTATTGTTTCTGATTTTTCTTTTCTTTCTTTCTTCTTTTTTTGTAATCCACATGCTCCCATTCCGTTTTCTCTTCCTAGCATTCACCTCTCTATTCTTTTGTGTCTTTCCCATACACTAAACTATGTGCATTCTAGGTATGTGGTACATCTCTCCAAACCTATGGGGATTATGCCATCCTAGCATTGGACGAGCCTGAGGTTGGTTCCCTTTTAGGTCAGCAGTTCAGATCCACCAGCCGCTCCTTGGCAACCCTATGGGGCAGTTCTCCTTTGTCCTGTAGGGTCGCAATGAGTCAGAACTGACTTGACGGCACCTAACAACAACAACAGCATTGGGACAAGACCCGTTGCCGTCGACTCATTTCCGACTCACAGTGACCCGTAGCTCAGTGGTGAGGAGCGCCAGTGAACACAGGCGGGTGAAAGGGTACTTCTAGTCTGTACCAGCTCCAGATACCAAAGGTTAAAGAGCACAGTTATGCAGAGAGAGCCAATAGAGTGAAGCATTTCTGCTACCCAAAGCCAAAGATGATAGGCCATTTGCTGCTTATCCTAGGCATTTATTCATTCACTCATACATTCATTCAGTACATATTTATGGAGCACCTACTATGTGCCAAGTACTTTGCTAAGTGTCAGGCATACTAGGATGAACAAAAGTAAGCTCAATCTCTGTCCTTGTGCTGCTTAAAGTCTAGTGGTAGAGACAGGTATTAATAAAAATAAATAAATGTAAAATTTTCGATTGTGGTATATTCAGATTTTTGTAACAGAGTTCCACCTAGCCCTTAAATCTTTGCAAGCCCTTTTTTAAAAATACTTTTTATCTTTAAAATTCATGCAAGTAACACATGCCATTCTCATTTTTTAAAAGACTATAGATATACAGAGGGTTAAAAAGTGAAAGCCCTCTTTCCTTTCCCTATTTCACTCCCCTCCCTAGAGGAAACAAGTGTTAAGTTTGTGTGTATCCTTCTGTTTTTTTTTTTCTTCAGGGGGGAAGCTGTATGCAGTATAGTATAATGGTTATAAATATGGACTCTGGAACCAGTCTGCCTGAATTTGAATCCTGGCTTTGCCAGTTTACTACCTGTGTGACCTTGGGCAAGTTACTTAACCTCTCTGTTCCATAACCTGTGAAATGGGGATAATAGTACCTATGTCATAGGGATTCACTCAAGGATTAAATAACATGACATATTTAAAGCACTTATAACAGTGCCTAGCACATAAGAAGTGCTACGTAAGTGATAATGATCATCATCATTTACGTACATATATATTCACATGTACAAATATAAATATATTTTAGTATAAAGGAATCCTTTTTCTGCATCTTGCTTTGATGACTTAACAGTACATCTTGGTTATCTTTCCATGTCAGCACGCACAGATGCACTGCATTCTTTTGGATGATTGCATGCCATATGCCCTATGAGGGTATTACAATCACTTGTTTAATCCTTCCTATATTGATTGACATTTACTATCTTCCTATATTGATTGGCTTTTACTAACAATGCTGGAGGCAAGATTCTTCATTATGGTGCCATTCCTTTGTGGATTTGTGTGACAGCCTTGCTGCTAGAAGACCTTAGAGGGTATTTGGAATCTAGTAACTATATCCCCAAGGTAGCATAAATAATGGGCATTGCAGAAGACTCTATTGGTTCTTCTGCATCTCCTTCCAAAGAAACTACCTTAGAAACCTGTGGCTGCCATGGTCTAGGGACCCTGGGTTGTGTTCAGTGTGTTGAAGGACCCTCTTATGCTGTGAGGTTGTTCCTGAGGGTAACTTGAGAATCTCTTCAGGGAGAGGTTCCAATTCCTGAGAAGCCCAACTTGACCCGGTGGGTTTCCCTGTGTTTCAGATCAGTGCTGAGTCCCTGACTGGCTTGCCATCACACAAAGGCGAGTTGGTGGTTTCATTGAAATACATCCCAGCCTCCAAACTCCCTGTTGGAGGTGACCGGAAAAAGAGTGAGTTTTCCTCGGGGCCCTGGATTTAGCTCTTAGTCTTCACAGATGCCTGTGTGAAGTTAGTGCTGGCTAGTATTGGAGAGTCCAGACTGAGGTACACACTGGATCTTCTAGGGGAGATGCCTTTACTAATTAAGCTTTTTCGGCATTTTTCAGCCAGAATGCCTTAGGATTGGCATTCCTTTTTTTTTATTATTATTATTTGTGTTAAATGGATGTATTTTTTGTCCAGCTATGGAAAGCTACTAATAGGGCAGAAGAGAACAGAAACTTTGGGGCTGGGAAAGGATAGTTGGAAGGGATGGTAAAGTATGAGGGATGTGAAACTGAAGGCTGGAAAGTCAGTCAACATGCTAGATACTGTGCTAGTGGCTGTGGATGTGTAGATGAATAAGACCTGATATTTGCCCTCCCTTGAGGAGCTTAGTTTAGCAAGAAAGATACATACATGCTAAAGGAACACAGATACGAGAGTGATGAATTCTGTCTAGTAGCATTTGGGAGAGCTTTAAGGAGGAAGTCATGTTGAAACTGGACCTTGATTAAGATTTGACCAGGCAGAAAAGAAGGAGGATGGAAGGGCATTTCTAGGAGAGGGGCTAGCATACACCGAGGTTTTAGGAAGGCATGGTAAATGTGGAGTTGTATGTGAATGTAGGGGAGTGAACCCCTTCAGTGACACTAGAGTTATGGTATGTATATTTGAGAGTGGGGCTGGAGTTGGAGCTGAGACTGGAGTCCAGCTTGAAAAGGGTCTTGAATGTTAATGAGTTTAATCTGTTGGCAATGGGAAACTCAAGGGGTTCTTAAAAATATACCTTCAGCAAGGCCTAATGCAGGGGATTTGGGGAGTCAGTTAGCTCCCCACGGAGGGTATGTAGAATGATTAGAGAAGAGAGGCAAGGATAGAGCCACAAGGAATAGCAAGGATGAAGGATGAAGAGAAGGAAAAAAGCCAGTGAGGCAGAGGGTTCTCAGCGAGAAATGCCAGGAAAGAGGTTCAAGAAGGGGCCTGGAGTTGTCAGCAGTATTGAAATACTACAGGGAGGTCAGGCCAGATGAAGACTGAGAAGAAATGGCTCACTGGCATTAGATTGCATTTTCAGTGGATTAGTGGAAACAGAAAACAGGTTGCACCAGGGACCAGGCTGAGTGAATGAGGCAAAGAAGTAGAGGTGGTGAGTGTGGACTTTTTTTTTTTTTTTCCAGGATACTTGGTGTTGAAGGAAAGGAGAGACATGGAGAATAGCTTGAAGGGGAGATAAGGCTGAGGGGAGGCTTTCTTTTAAATGGAGCTTTTTAAAAGAAGAGGTGAGATTAGCATATATTTAGACTGAAGGGAAGGGACCAGTGGAGGAAGAGATAGTACAGTTGGGGGGTGGGAGTTGAAATTGATGAAGCCTAGTCCTGTGAAGTAAGGATAGGATCCAGAACACAAGTGGAGGCATTCCCTCCTTTTTAAAAATAATTCAGCAAATATTGGGCAACTTTATTGCTCTAAACCTCAATTTGCTCATGTATAAAATGAGGACAATAATAGTGTTATCTCATAGGGTTTTTTTGAGAATTAAATGAGGAAAGAATTGTTTTGAGAATTAAATGCTTAGCATAGTATCTGGCACACAGCCAGTGTTCAATAAGCATTTATGATTATTGTTCTTATTAATTGGGTGCCTGTTACTGCCAGGTACTGTGCTAGGTGTTGAGAATACAAGTGAGATATGGCTTCAGTTGTCATGGAGCTTGCTGTCTTCAAGAGGAAGCAAAGGAAGTGCTATGTAGATAAAGCTCAAAATAAGTCTGGAGGTACAGGGCTCACTTGCTATGGCTGACATCCCTTACAGGTAAAGGTGGGGAAGGGGGAGAGCTCCAAGTGTGGATCAAAGAAGCCAAGAACCTGACAGCTGCCAAATCAGGAGGGACTTCAGACAGCTTTGTCAAGGGGTGAGTCCCTGGACCAGCACCAAACTAACCAGTTTCAGGACAAAAGAGCTAAGAGAGGAACCCAATTTAACATTTCTCTGTGGGTATTATCCCTGTGTCTCCTACCATCCCCAAGAGCTGCCTTTGTTCCTGAAATTAGGTAATGGCAAAACCTCATCCACCACCTTTGTTCTGGACTGAGCTCGGTTTAGACTGGACTGTCACATTGATTTCCACAGAGGAGGGTGGTGGACAGATAGGTTCTCACTTTTCCTTTGTGGTAGACATACGTTCTTAATTAATCCTGGGTAAAAATCTGTGTCCCCTGTCTAGATTTGGGAACTGAAGATTTTATTCCCCACCATTTTTTTAAGCAATGCTAGCTTTCCACAAATGATAGATCACCCTACTGATTTAAGTTCTCTAGCAAATCATGTTTGGCTAAGCCTACAGTTATTACTATTGGTTTTATTTAAAGAGGACCTTGGCCATGAGAAACAGAACCAAATATTTAAAACCCATTTTTGGTGGAGCATAGGCAATAGCTCACTAATAACATTATATTAATTTTCTCTCCAGGTTAAAGGAATTGAATCAGGTGAATGACCGAGTAGAGGTGGCAGGAACTCTGCTTCAGCAGATTCAAAGGAGGGGTGTCTGTACTAGGATCTGAGTGTTGACTCACCTTCTTGAGCTAGGCCTGTGGTAGGGGAAAGGGGAACTGAGACAGATATTGCCAGCTTTGAGTGGGTTGTTGATTACTCCCCACCCTCTGCCAGATACCTCCTTCCCATGAGGAACAAGGCCAGTAAGCGTAAAACTCCTGTGATGAAGAAGACTCTGAATCCCCACTACAACCATACATTTGTCTACAATGATGTGAGGCTGGAAGATCTGCAACACATGTGCCTGGAACTGACTGTGTGGGACCGGGAGCCCCTGTCCAGCAATGACTTCCTGGGAGGGGTCAGGCTGGGTGTTGGCACTGGTGAGAGCCTCTCCCCCATCCTGACTTGTCTTAAAGGCCTTTTGTATATTTCACTGTCACTACATCCCTTCCTCCACAAAGCCCCTCTATGACTAGAGTTGTCTTCTTTCCTTTCATATATCATTCAGCAAATATTTATTGAGTGCCTACTGTGTGCCAGGCATAGGGGAGGCTGAGCTCATGCACTATTATGCGTACAGATTTTTGACCCTGACTGCCAGGAACTCCATCATCTTCCCCCACAAAAAAACTACCAATGTACTTATAATTTCCATCTTCCATCCTGTTACAATGAAAGAAGGGTCCTTGCTACAAAGGCCAAGCTCTTTCCAAGTACTCAGGATCACATCCTCACCTTCTCGATGACCTCACTTCTGGAATTATCTCCTATCTCTCCTTTATAATTGGTTTCTTCCTATCTACTGGATGTGAATACAAATAGGCTCTGGTGTTTCCAATCTTAACAAACAAAAATAAACCTTTTCCTGACCACACATTCCCCCTCTAATGTCTTAAAAATAAATAGTCATCTTAACTTTCCTGACCTCTCCTTTAATCCTCAATCCACTGCCATCTGGCTTCTGTCCTACCACTCCACTGAGCAATTGCTCATGCTAAAGTCGCCAGTAAACTCCATATTGCCACGTCCCAAGGACAGTTTTGTGCCTTTATGGTTTATCCTGTACCACTGTCCCACTTGCCTACTATGCTGCAACCACAATGACTCTCTTTCTGCTCCACAAATATACCAAACTCATTCCTGCTTCACTACCTTTGCAATTATTGTTCCCTCTGATTGGAAAGGCTGACTCCTTCCTATCCTTCAGGTCTTGACTCTTGACACAGGTTAGGACTTGTCAACTTGACAAAAGAAATGTCTCCATCTCAGGGAAGTCCGCGGATCACTCCATCTGAAGTAGGCCCTGATCCAGGCACTACAAGTCACCCTGTTTATTTACTTCATAGCACTTACCTCACTATCTGAAATATAGTGACTCTTGTTGGTTTACTTGTATGTTTTCTGCCTTCTCTTTTCAAGAGAAGCTGCATGAGGGAGGGACCTGTTCTGCTTTGTTCACCACTGTATCTCCAGAGCCTAGTACAGTACCTGGCGCATAGTAAACTCAAACCAAACTCATTGGGATCGAGTTGATTCTGACTCATAGTGACCTTGTAAGACAGAGTAGAACTGTCCCATAGGGTTTCCAAGGAGCAGCTGGTGGATTCGAACTGCTGGCCTTTTGGTTAGCAGCCGAGCTCTTAACCACTGAACCACCAGGACTCCTACACAGTAGGCACTCAGTAAATCTTTGCTGAATGAATGAATGCATGCATGTGTGAGTAGGAATGAGGCCACATACAATCCTAACTTCTGGCCTGGGGTCTACAGCTAGAGTAAAAGGTGCTCATAGTTTTTAAAATTTTAAGTCAAATTGGTAACAGAACGTCAGTAGCTCTGGCGTGAGTTGTCAGACGCTAGAGCTCAGTAACAGCCTCAGAATAAGAGGTCTCTAGCTACTGCGTGCATTTTGGAGTCCCATTTCATCAACCTAAAGTCTCTGGATAGTTCAGGAGCACAGAAGTATCTGTACAGGATCAACAAGAAGCATCTCCCAGGTTGCTGTCCCTATCAGTCCTTCTTCATAGCACATTGCGTTTTGTGAGGCTGCTACCCTTGCTGTATAACTTGTCTTTCCTGGTGGGCTGAAGAGTGGGGCCCCTGTTCAACCTCCTCTGGTGTTTCTCCTCAGGGATCAGTAATGGGGAAGTGGTGGACTGGATGGACTCGACTGGGGAAGAAGTGAGCCTGTGGCAGAAGATGCGACAGTACCCAGGGTCTTGGGCGGAAGGGACTCTACAGCTCCGTTCGTCGATGGCCAAGCAGAAGCTGGGCTTATGAGTCCCTATCCTTCTCTTCAGGTCCAGCCCTGGCCAGGGCAAGTCAGAGGAAGTGAAGAAACCAAGAGCAAAGATTTATAATTTAATGCGTGTGTGTTATGTGTATGTGTGCACAAACATGTATTTCTACAATCCCATTATGCTGGAGTGATGCAGACTTGTTCCCCTTTTTAAAGTAGGCTCAAGAATAAGGGTCTCTTCAAGATATTTTGTGTATGTGTGTGTGCATAATCTAGTATGTTTTCAGAGTCCATTCTCTTATGTATTTGTGGGGTGTAATTGACTTCTTTAAAAATCTCTTAAAACAACTTTTTATCTTCTCTCTTGCTATCCTTGTTCCTACTTCCCCAGGAAGCCTTGACTGCCTTTGACATTAGCACAACTCTTATGTTTCCAGGTGTGCCTGACCTGAAGCCAAGGCTCTGGGAAGCAGGGTTGGGTTGCTAAAGACAAGAGAGTATGGAAGAGAGTAGGTTCTCTTCTGCCTCTCCAATTTATGCTTTTAACTCGTTTTTTTTAAAACTCATTTTCTACCTGGATAAGTTTCTGGAACTTAGCTTTTAAATTGTCTTCTTTTTAAGGGGTTTCCACCTTGCGTGGGTCTGATTTTCTTTCAAATGCTAAGAAAAGCTCAGTTTCAGACACCTTTTCTGCACCTTTGGGGGGTCCTTTCAAGAGAGCCACTTTAGAAAAGCACTTTAATTAGATAATGGCCTTTGGACTGACTCAGGAACATGACCAGCCAGAGCTTCTGGGTAGTCCCAGACCACTGTGACTGAGGGTTGAAGTGTCTCACAGCGCATGCTGAATTCTGCACACTTTTAACTGATACAGCATTCGTTAAAGAGCTCCTCGTTTCTCTAATGAAAAGTGAGACATCTTCACTCTTATGTACCACGTCTTTCTTAGCGTTTGTATCTGGGATGTGTTACCACACAGGATATGGTCCACATACCACTGTGTCAGCCAAAATAGTCAACTATTATATAAAGTGATCCAGTGTTCCAAGAAAATATGTACAGAGAGTCTCCCAGCTAGTCTGACTTCCTTCTTGAAGTGGTTTCTGTTCCTTTTTTTTTTTTCAATTGTTTCCTAAACTTGACCTTGATACAGCATAAGTGTGGTATGTTGAGGTTTTTCTAAGAAGGATCTGGTAGTCTAAGGCTCGTTTTCCAATATGTTTAAACTGACCTTTTCAATTCTTACAGTTGTATCTATACAAAATTATGTGTGAATGGAGTCTATAAGGCCACTGGATTGAGAGTGAACTAGGGTGGTGTCTATGGTATGTGTGAACTGAGTGGAGGAATTTTTTAAAAGGTATATTTGGTATGGATTGATATTATAATGGAAGGCATAACATGGGATCCTGGGCTGTAACTTGCTTTTTGTTGTCTACCCCGTGAAATGTACGTGTGCTTCAATAAAGCTTTCTTACTTGTCAAGTGTTTGCATTTGTTAGTTCTATAGACGCTTTTGTCTCTGATGTCCTGACTTACTGTTGTTGCTCTTCATGTGGCTTGAAGGATAAGAACCAGGAGTAACAAATGCCCTTCCCTAACTATCCTGTGCTGATCTGAAGAAAATTTACCTTTACCCCACACTTTTGCCTGATCCTTTGCTGAGATCTGATTCCCTGAGAACCCACCTTAAAAGTAGTACCACTTTTCTGTCTCTGAAATATCAAGGGAACTCCTTTAACTTTGTAGAACCTCTGTGCTGAAGAAATGTCCACATAAGAGGCAAGGGAAGACATTCTCTGTTATTAGCCCCTTCTTTTGGATCCCTCCATTTCTCTAGGGGGTGGGGAATTTTTCCTTCACTCCTACTACCATTATTTAGCTTTGAGAGACAAATAACACAGATGCTAATTAGCCTATCTCAGAAATCAGGCTCTGGGTTTCTTGGTAGAGCCCAACTGACTATTGACCTCTGTTACAAAAGGGCCTTAATGAATATTAAATGCCTTTTTTTGTACAAGGCTGTATGCTGGGCAGTTTGTACGTTAGCTCTTTAAATTCTCCGAATACCTTATGAAATAGAAAATATTCCGTTTTTACAGAGGAGAAAACTCAAACCCACTGTCATGCACCAGAGTTGGAAGATGAATCAAAAGTCTGCCTGCTGCAACATGCTGCTTTCTGTGAGAATGGTACGTGTGTTATAGGCAAAAGTTCAAAGGAAGGGATGGTTCATTTCTTCTAGAATACCGTAAAGTTTAGTTTACAAAGTAGGACAATCAGAATGCTTTGGATATTACCTAGCCAGCTTACTGACTGTATAGCTTGTGTGTGTATGTGTGTTTGTGAGGGTGAGGTCTAGGGTTGGGCAGAGAGGTACAGAGGGAGAGAGACAATATGTATGGAGTTGGGGTTGGTCTAGCCCCTTTGCGTCCGGCTGTGAGCCTGATTCTGCTGCTGTCCATTTTCCCCTACCTTTATGAGTTGGTTTTAATCATCTAAAAAGGACTACAAAGGAGGTTACGGTAAAACTTTACCTAAAGAAAGCAAGATGGACATTGCCTTGACTGCTCGAAAAAGAAAAAAGAAACAAAATAAAAGCTCCTCGATTTTGTTAAGCTAGAGGAGGATTTACATGCCAGAGTCAGCCAGGCCCAGGTGGGAACTCTGTTCAGGAGGTGGTGGGCCTCCCCTATGATATTGTTTGGGCCTTTGACCTGCTAGCATGTTCTGGCTTGCCAGTTAAAGTGTTCATAATAAAGACAAGGAAGGGCATTCATCTTGTCTGGTGTGCAATCTTTGCCTTTGGAACCACAGACCCTGTCTGACCGGAGACTTCCCACATTAACTCATTGTATTTTGCCTTTTGCCCATAACTTGTCTCCTGCCTTTCATAGCTCCTGTATTTCTCTGGAGGAAGTGGGAGAAGGGACGTTTTGGCTCCAAGTCTGATAATTTCCTCCATGTCTCATTCTAGCCAGAAACTGCCTAACTTTTTGGTTTGCATTTAAAAAATGAGATTTCTACTAAAACCCCAATGGAAACAGCTTCCCTCTGACTCACTGCTACCCCCATATGTTCTGGGTTCATGATTTATGTCCCATCACTCTGCTTTAAAGAGTGAATTTTCTTGGGTTGAGAGCCTTTCATTTCCCTCTTTCTTCCTGGGCCTATCCTCAGTCTTGTGTCTGAGTAAGATTATAGATGATGAAACCTTTCTCCTTGCTGGGAGCTTTCATCTGTCTTTAAATGAAAAGTAGAAAAAGAAGTAGAGGCAGATAGCATAATGTTTAAGAACATTTAACTCTGGAGCCAGGCTGCTGGTGTTTGAATCCAGACTCTGCCGCTTACTAGCTGTCCAATCTTGGGCAAGTTGCCTAACCTTTGTGTGCTTCCATTCCCTCATTTGTAAAATAGGGCTAATAATAGTATCTGCCTTGTAGGGTTTTTGTGATGATTTCAGAGTCAGTTAATACAAAGTGTCTAAAATGGAGCCTGGCACATAGTGAGTGCTCAAACATTATCTCTGCCTCCCCACTCAGCCTGCTTCCCTCTCCCCTCTCATTGGTTTTCCACTGACGACCCTCTTGGGTAAAGCTGAAGGAAAAGGGCTGCTGAGTATTAACTATGACACTAGGTTCCATAAGTATATAAAAGAAGGTTCTCAGCAACAAGAGCAAAAATGTTTTTCTTTCAAACACTGACACACCATCGAATGGGGCTGACGTTGGAGTCGGGATCTGTGTGTGACTTCCCTGCACAGCAACCCAGCCTCAAATTTGCTTCCAGGACTGGCTCTTATAAGGTTTGACTTTGTGCTGCTGTAGCTCCTACCTACTCTGTGTTCATCTTCTACAACTGGATATCTGAGTAAGTTAATACATGAGGCTGAGTCTGTTTTCCTTTTCCTCCCTCACTATTTAGTTTTACAAAGGTGTATAGTGTGGTTTTGAGGTTTCCTAGATCACGAGCTAGGGCACTTCTCTGAGGAAGGGACAGCATTGTCTACCTTTTGCTATGGGAACAGGAAGCCTCAGTAAGAAGAGGTCCTTACCCATGAGCCAGCTGGAGGGGCCAGGAGAGACCATGCTCTGGCCTGATTTTTCTTCCCAAGCTCCCTCCCATTGCAGCATTTTCCTAACTCTTAGATGAAGCAGTGGTTAATATAACGTAATCTAACGCCCTAGAAGGGGAGATGACAAACAGGTTCAGGTTTTGTAGCTATCCCCCCACCCCAGTGATACAGTTGTAAGGAAAATCCAGTTACATTTGCTCAGTGTCCTGGTTGTTGTGATGGTGCTGCCCTCTGCTGTTACCTCAGAGTAAGCTCATTAAACCCACTGCCATCAAGTTGATTCCGACTCGACTTGTAGTGACCCTGTAGGACAGAGTAGAACCGCCCCGTAGGGTTTCCAAGACTGTAATCTTTACTGGCGCAGATTCCAGGCCTTTTCTCCCACGGAGCAACTGGTGGGTTCAAACCGCCCACCTTTCTGTTAGCAGCCGAGTGCTTAACCACTGTGCCATCAGGGGATCCATTTAAAATACAGCCAGTTAGTGAATGAATTAAAATTTACTTATCTGAAAGACTTTTGAGAGCTGGGCAGAGGCCCAGATTAGGAAAGGAAGACCTTGTACCCCTAACCCGCAGCCCGAGACCTTCCTTCAGTCCCTGCCTAGCTTCTTATGCTCCTCCAGTGCTACCTGAAGCGCAGACTTGCTTCAGGGGAACTATCACATAGTCCTGAAAAGGTGCCTGGAAATGTCCCCGGGTTGGCGAACCTCACCCTCCTCAGAGTCCCATTCCTAGGACTGTGGGAAACCATTTCCTCTTTTTTATTAGGCAACTAAGGTATCTTGTCCCTTGACCTCTCCATGCCCTGGCTCAGGTTCATTCGCATACGTCCCTTTGTTCCCGACGCTGGATCAGCTCCTGGTTGCTCAGTAAGTAGTCATCAATGAAGGTGAATATTTCCTCAGGGGTGACAGGTTCCATGTAGCGTTCTCGGTCTATACCCTGCTTGTCAATCAATACCATGTTGAAGTAGGAGCTGGTGAGGCGCTGAAATTGCCTAGAGAGAGGAGCATGGGGAGGTGTGAGACCTTGTCTAGACATCCAGCCTGCCAGGCTCTACTACCCTCTGACCCTTCATAACTCCATTGTTGAACTAATTCCTCCCCAAGCCGATTCCTTGCCCCCATCCCCTCCACTACCTAGCTCAAGCCTCTTTGTTTTTGTCGGCTCAGACCCTAGTCTTGCTGCCTGTAAGTGTCTAGCTCTGCTAAGCTGCCCTTCCTCACCCCAGCTGGAGCAGCTTTGTTATTATCGAGCTGCACTTCCTTAGTAAGTCCCCTTAAGCAGGACTATTACATACAGCTATGCAGACTGCACTGGATAACTCCCAGGGTGGCGGGCACCAAGCACATAGACTATGATGTGACTAGGGTTTTCTAGAATTGGGCTGGTCATAACCTGCAAAGTGTACATGGCAGCCCTGAGGTTGATCAGCCTCACCTGGTTAACTCTTCTATCTATAGCTACACATCTGCAGTCTCCTTTCTCTGAGCGTTTGCCAGTCTCTCTCTTAACTGGGACTGAATCTTTCTGTCTCCACTGAGACTGAGCCGTGGAGGCAGGTATTGTTTGTAGAACAGAGAGCAGTAATGGCTTTATTGGCCCTGAGTGTCTGTGGAGGCATTGGAAGGGTGATAATGGGTAGATAATAAGAAAAGTCAACTTCTACCACCTGTCACCTATGGTCTTCTCTCTCCCCAGGGGCTAAGGGGTATGATTCAGGTATCAGGGCCTAAAGGTACCTTTTGCTCCTTTGGAGACTGAAGGCAAAGGAAGGAAGCCAAGAGGCAGGAGGGTCAGAGGCTTTTCTCAGTCATGTTTGGGTTTAAGTATGTCTCAACCCTGGCAGTGTTTTAGAGTCACCTGAGGTGCCTTTATAAAAGCACGTTCCTGAGGTGGTTTGGGTAGGGCCTGGTAATCTGTATTTTAACCCCTCATTTGATTCTGATGTCCTGCCAAAGTTATGAACCGTTCTCTGGTCTTATCTAAGGTATCTGTAAGAGTTCAAAAATAAGAAATATCCCAAGAGAATAGTGTCTGTTGGTTCTCCCACAATCCCCCTTTGTCAGTGTCCTGCCTAGGGTTTCTGCCCACCCTTTCCCTGCAGCCTCCCAGCCTGGACCTGAGCTCCTCGATGATGTTGGCTGACAGCTGCTGCTCCCGGATGCGCCCCACCTCCTGAGGTGACTGCCCCACCAGCTCGATGATGGTCACGTGACGCAGGTCCAGCCCACAGGTGGATTGCTGGGAGGGGGACAGAACATTTTATGAAACAGGTCTTGGCACTCAACCCTAAGGCTATTGGACTGATTCCTCCTGGGACCACATGAGGAAGTGTGGGATAGCGGGGCCTTCTCCCCGAAGACCACACCGTGAGATCTACAACATTTTCCCTCTGTCACTTCTGAAGTACTTACCCCAACAGTGTTTTTTTTAATGCCACTGAAGTGTACAAAACAGTTACACCATGTGGGGTAGAAAAAAGAAATGTAATTGATAAATTGCAGCAACGATCTCTCATCGCTTAACTTCAAAAAGGTTTAAAATTACATAGATTCTTATTGAATGGCTATTCCAATATAATAATAGTAATAGCTATTATATATTCGATATTATAATGATATGTGCAAAGACCCGGAGTTAGAAAACCAAAAGGGAAGGACACGCTCGGCATTTCTCAAGCTGAAAGAACTGAAGAAAAAATTCAAGCCTCGAGTTGCAATAGTGAAGGATTCTATGGGCAAAATATTGACCAATACAGGAAGCATCAAAAGAAGATGGAAGGAATACACAGAATCACTGTACCAAAAAGAATTGGTTGACATTCAACCATTTCAGGAGGTAGCATATGATCAAGAACTGATGGTACTAAAGGAAGAAGTAAGTCCAAGCTGCACTGAAGGCGTTGGCGAAAAACAAGGCTCCAGAAATTGACAGAATACCAATGGAAATGTTTCAACAAATGGATGCAGTGCTGGAGGTGCTCACTTGTCTATGCCAAGAAATTTGGAAGAGAGCTGCCAAGAAATTTGGAAGGCCAATCAACTGGAATAAATCCATACTTGTGCTCATTCCAAAGAAAGGAGATCCAACAGAATGTGGAAATTATTGAACGATATCATTAATATTACACACAAGTAAAATTATGTGGAAAATCATTGAAAAGCGGTTGCAGCAGTACATTGACAGGGAACTGCCAGAACTTCAAGCCGGATTCAGAAGAGGACGTGAAACAAGGGATATCATTGCTGATGTCAAATGAATCTTGGCTGAAAGCAGAGAAGACCAGGAAAATGTTTACCTGTGTTTTATTGACTACACAAAGGCGTTCAACTGTGTGGATCATAACATATCCTGGATAACGTTGTGAAGAATGGAAATTCCAGAACACCGAATTGTGCTCACGCGGAACCTGTACATAGACCAAGAGGCCGTCATTTGAACAGAGCAAGGGGTTACTGCATGGTTTAAAATCAAGAAAGGTATGTGTCAGGGTTGTATCCTTTCACCATACTTATTCCATCTGTATGCTGGGCAAATAACCCGAGAACCTGGACTATATGAAGAAGAATGCGGCATCAGGATTGGAGGAAGACTTGTTAACAACCTGCGTGATGCAGATGACACAACCTTGCTTGCTGAAAGCAAAGAGGACTTGAAGCACTTACTGATGAAGATCAAAGACTACAGCCTTCAGTATGGATTGTACCTCAATGTAAAGAAAACAAAAATCCTCAAAACTGGACCAATAAGCAACATCATGATAAACAGAGAAAAGATTGAAGTCGTCAAGGATTTCATTTTACTTGAATCCACAATCAATGCCCATGGAAGCAACAGTCAAGAAATCAAATGATGTGTTGCATTGGGCAAATCTCCTGCAAAAGTGTTCAGAAGCAAAGATGTCACTTTGAGGACTAAGGTGGGCCTGTCCCAAGACATGATATCTTCAATTGCCTCATATGCATGTGAAAGCTGGACAATGAATAAGAAAGACCGAAGAAGAATTGATTCCTTTGAATTATGGTGTTGGTGAAGAATACTGAATACACCATGGACTGCCAGAAAAACAAACAAATTTGTCTTGGAAGAAGTACAGCCAGAATGCTCCTTAGAAGCAAGGATGGCAAGACTTCGTCTCACATACTTTGGACATGTTATCAGGAGGGACCAGTCCCTGGAGAAGACCATCATGCTTTGTTAAGTAGAGGGTCAACGAAAAAGAGGAAGACCCTCAACGAGATGGATTGACACAGTGGCTAGAACAGTGAGCTCAAACAGCAATTATTGTGAGGATGGCAGTATTTCGTTCCGTTGTACATAGGGTCGCTATGAGTCAGAACCAACTTGACTGGCACCTAACAACAACATTAAATATTGGAGGGATCCCCAGTGGCGCAGTGAGTAAGCACTTGGCTGCTAACTGAAAGGTCAGTGGTTTGAACCCACCAGCTGCTCTGTGGGAGAAAAATGTGGCAGTCTGCTTCCGTAAAGATTTACAGCCTTGAAAAATCCCTATGGGGCAGTTCTGCTCTGTCCTGTACATTTGCTATGAAACGGAATCGACTTGATGGCAACGATTTTATTATATATTGAATATACATACCTAATGCTTTGTAGTCATAATCTAATTTAATCCTCACAACACCCCTAACAAGTAGGTGGTATTATCCTTATTCTGTAGAGGAGGCAGTAACTTTCTCAAGTTTGCATGACTGAGGTCTAAGGCTGCCGGCCCAAGTGTGTGCTCCTTACCACTAGGCTACATCACCAGGGCCTTCTCTTGGTTTCCAAGATTTCTCCAAAATAGTACCAAGTATTGTTTTCATTACCCTTTGCTCCCTTCCTGGCACTGGACAGCACACTTGTAACCCTGCCTTTGAGTCTCTGTCTTGTCTCATAGAGTCGCCTATTAGCCAATTACCTTGCTCAAGGTTTAAAGAAGCGTTGAACAATCCCTGGTACCCCACCCCTGTTTAATCTTTTGGCTCATCCTCTAGTATTGACCCCTAGAGTCACTGTCCTCACTAGCTAGTTCATTTTCTTGTTCTTGCTTCCTGTTCAAGCTGAGCTATTGCCTTTGTCTGCCCTTTTTGGATCCCTAGAGGAACTAGGTCCTTTTTGGTCTAGATCCCCATGAAACTGCTTCCTTCGTGGGCCCCTGAATCTTAACTCAGTAACTTCCTTCTTAGTTTCCTAGTGCTGTGTGACACAAATACCACGAGTGGGCAACTTTAATTTTGAACAGAATTTATCACAGTTCTAGAGGCTAAAAGTCCAAATCAGGGTCATGACCGAGTTGATTCCTTCCTTGTCGGTAGCCCGGGCCTTCCTTGGTTCCTTGGTGATTCTTACATGGCACCTGTCCCCAGTATCTGTGCGTGTCTGTGTCTAATCTGCTCTTTTTAAAACTCGGAAGTGATTCATGAACATAATAAAGAAAATTCTATTTCCAAACAGGATTACATCCAAAGGTATAGGCATTAGGATTCCAACACATATTTTGGGGGGACACAATTCAGTCCACAACAACTTCTAAGATGCAACCTTTAGAAATTCCCTAACTAGCATCTTCTCTTACCTGGGTATCCAGCCTGAGCTAGTTCTTTTAGCCTTGTCAGCACACTGAGTTCTCTTCAGCATCCGAGTCTTTTTTTCTAAGTCCCAATGATCATATCTATGCTGTCCTATCTATCTCTCCCTCCCCCACCAGTGGCTTTGGCTAGGTATCTAGTTGTTGTGTGCCATCGAGTTAATTCCAACTCTTAGTGACCCTATATGACAGAGTAGAACTGCCCCATAGGGTTTCCCAGGCTGTAATCTTTACGGGAGCAAATCACCAGGTCTTTTCTCCCAAGGAGTTGCTGGTGGGTTAGAATCGCTGACCTTTCAGTTAGCAGCCGAACACTTAACCATTGCACCACCAGGGCTCCTTAGAGATCTAGTAAAAAAAAAAAACTAAAAAACCAAACCCATTGCCATCAAGTCAATTCCAATTCATAGTGACCCTGTAGAACAGGGTAGAACTGCCCCATAGGGTTTCCAAGGAGTGACTGGTGGATTCAAACTGCTGACCTTTTGGTTAGCAGCTGTAGTTCTTAACCACTGCACCACCAGGGCTCCAGATATCTAGTAGTACATTAAAAATCCTCATGTAACTCCTTCATTCTATTTTAAGACATTACAACACTTTTCCTTCTCTTCTACTTTCCTTCTCATCTGATCCTGGAGCCAGACTGCCTGGATTAAATCCTGGCTCTGCCTGTTACTAGCTGGTGACCTTGGGCAAATCACTTAACCTCTCTATGCCTGAGTTTCCTCACCTATAGAATGGGGATAATAATAGTACCTTCCTCATACGGGTTGTTGTGAGGATTACAAAAGTTAATATGTATAAAGCACATAGATCAGTACCTGGTACTTATATAGCACTTAGCACATAAGTGTTGGTACTATTATTCCTTGAAAACATGAACATAGTTTATTCTCAACATTTACATTTGATTATACCTGTCAATTTATCCAGACTACTTGGCCACATTCCCTTCCTGTCCTTCACCCAACCCCCTGCAGGTCACATTCTTCATTCTGGTGGCCTCGTTGCCTTTTCAGTAAAAACATAGCTGTCTTTAAAATGTGCTAAATTTGAATTCAGTAAAATTGATCAAATGCTATCCACAAAAAGTTTGAGGAAACAGCGTTTGTGCTGCAGAGAGAAACTGATCTGGAAAAGCTAAGGGGGTAATGGGGTGGGGTTAGGGGGTATGTAAGGTATCTAAGCCCTCATTAGGGGAGTGGGTCTCACCTGTAGCATAGAGATCTGCATTTTATAATATCGGTTGGAGGAATCAGGAGCTGAGATTATGAGGAGTCGCCGTTTTTCAAAGAACTGATCCAGAAGACCAGCAGCTGAGTTGACATTAACATTAATCTTCATAGCTGGGACAGAAGCAGATGGCCAGTCAGGGTATGACCTTCTTCTTCATCACAGCATGGGTAATTTAACATCTTGATAGAATCCAGTCTTTGGGGTTAACTCTTTATCCCTTCCCTTGGGGGAAATCCCAAAAGAACACTTGGAGATTTTAAACCCTCTTCTTGGGGTAGGAGTATTCTATGGGGTAGCATTGGCCCTTAAAATAAACACTTCAGAACTCCGCATTCCCACATCGTACACATTGCTGTTGGACCTCTGTGCCATGGGGATAGCCTCCAAAGTACCCCGATCAATATGTCCGTTCTCCCCATTCCCTGGTTTTACTCACGAGTACAGATGGGTGCTGATCCTGACCACTGGCGGCTGGACTGGCAGACCCGGGAGGAGGTCCCCTGGCGCTCATAACCGCCATCACAGTGGTATTCACAGGTGGCACCATAGTTGTCCCCTGCTGAAGTACAGGTAAGGTAGCCATGCTGTGGTGGTTTCAGAGTTGGGCAGCGTCTCACTGTTAGGGAAGAGCTTAAGTTAGGGTCTGTGGTGTCTCTCTTAGGAAGGAAAGACTAAGAGGGTGTCCATGTTGAGCTTTCTAGACCAGGAGACCTAGGGTGATCAGAATGACTGGCTTCTCTCTGCTTCCAATGGCCAGGGATGGAGCTAGACTTTTCCTTTCTTAGGGAATTACATCTTTCAGACAAACGTGTTTATATAAAGTCTGGAAACACAGATGCGTATACATAAGGTTGTCAAAAGAGTATTAATCTTTCAAAAAAGTCATCTGTTTCCAGACTTTATAGATTCCCAGTATAAACATGACCACCTTACAGAATTATAGTAGCAAAATGAAATCAGAAGCAACTAATATTCAACAGTGGGAGAAGAGTTAAGCAAATTATGACATACCTTTTAGAGTAGAATATTTTGCTGCCCTTAAAAGTATTTCTGAAGAATTTTTAAAGAACATGGGAAAATTACTTGTGTTATAAGAAAAATTGAAAAAAAGATGGTCTAAGATAGAAGATACAGTATAATCTCAAGTATATATATTTTTTAAATTATGTATAGAAAGAAGACTAGAAGGAAAATACCAAAAGGTTAACAGAAATTGCCTCTGGATGGTGGGGTAATAGACTTTTCCCTTTACCTATTTCTTTATTTTCCAGATGTTCAGCAATGAGCATGAATTGTTTTTATAATGAGAAAAGCAAAACAGAACAATACAACACCAAACGAAGAAGAATCAGACAGCCAACAATACCAGTGTCAGCAGGGGTGAAAGACTGATTAGATTTAATAATTAGGAGGTCAAGAAATGAAATGGAAACAGAGGGATCTTTGTGATTTTTATCCATATTTAGGAGAATGGGAAAGTCTTGTTGGGGAGTCAGGGTTTATTAAACATGTGTATGCACATGTAATATAGGTTTCCTGAATGATCCTGTTGGGTGGACTTTCTTTTTCCTCATCCAATATAAATGAGGTATGGCTGTTTCAGGCATGGAGAGGAGAGGGTTGTGATGGGCATCTAGAAGGCCATGGTAGATAGAGAAGGAATAATGAATAATGTGGAAATGGAAGAATTCTTTCTGACCTTGTACTTTCACAATGAACTTGCAGCTGGCTCTGTTGTAGGCTCTGTCATAGGCAGTGTAACGAATCACATGCTCTCCTTCGGGAAAGTGAGAGCCAGGCTCAGGGCCCCGAAGTGTCACCCTGCATGGGACAGGGTGAAAGAGCCACTGAGGAAAGAGACCCTTTGAATTAAGGTCCGGGACGTACCATCGCTGTAGCCTCATCCTGTGCAGCTCAGTGTGAGCAGCCTGAGGAACTGGGAGAAGCTGTTCGGAGGGACAGGGAGGGGCATTTGTCACTCAGGCTCACCTGGTGATGGTGCCATCAGCAGAATCTTTCACCAATGGTGGGTCCCAGTGTACTCGGGCAGTCAACTTCTCTGGCTCTGCCATCTTCTCACGTGAGTGGGGACAACGGATCTTGGGGGGATCTATGTCTGTCAAGGTCAGAAATCAAGTGCTGACTCATGGGTTCCCCTGCCTTCCCTAGAGGGGACCCATGGAAGCGATACCACACCAATGGGTAGGTAAAAGGTGCACTCTCAGTTCAAGGTGCCCAAACAGAGTGGGGAAGGAAGCCTAGCTCCAGCCGAAGTGAGTCCTTTGTTAAGCGTATCCCCAGTGTGCCGCCCTCATAGAGAACAGGATTGCCTTCTGTAGTGAGAATTGCGCATCCTTTGTGGATATCACACCAGGAGGGATTTGCAGCAGGACAAGTGGGAGGAACCAGCATTTACCTACACATACAGGCTCGCCTCCACTCCATTGCCCATCTTCCATGCAGATGCGGCTGCGGTCACCTTCCAGGTAGTAGCCACTGGAACAGCTGTAGTCACAGCGGGAGTCAAGAAGCATCCCATTTGTGCAGGTGTAGGTGCCACTAGTGATGAACGGCAATGTGTGGCATCTCACCTCTAAGAGAGAACCAAGTGGCAAGCTCAGTGGCCTGTGGGCCTGTCTAGAGGTGATGCCTGGGCATCTAGCACAGAGAGAACCATTATCAGAGACAGCCAAAGATACAGAAACCCCACCCAAACTGTCCTTAAATTTTTGTGCTTAATTGCCTTTTTGTTTCCATATTATAAAGTATAATGGCACTCTTGGGGGTTGCAAAGAAGTAAATCACTTGTCTAAGTCCATGGACTTTGGAAGCCGACCTGGGTTTGCATCCCAGCTCCACCTCTTATTAGCTCTGTGGCCTTGAGGAAGTGACCTCCTCCCCCTAAGTCTGTGTTTTCATCTCTACAGTGTGGCTACCTCATAGGATAGTTGTGCAGATCAAAAAAAAAAAACAATGCATATATAAACCTCTGGGTTCATTTAGGGTCTCAGCAACTGTTAGTTTTCTTCTCTTCTTCCTCAAATGTTAGTTCCCCTTGAGCAAATTCAAAGCTCCTTTTTTTTTTATTGTGCTTTAAATGAAAGTTTACAGTTCAAGTTAGTTTCTCATACGAAAATTTATACACACACTGCTATGTGACCCTAGTTGCTCTCCCCATACTGTGACAGCACACTCCTCCTTTCCACCCTGGATTTCCCGTGTCCATTCAAGCAGCTCCTGTCCCTTTCTGCTTTCTCATCTTGCCTCCGGACAGGAGCTGCCCATTTAGTCTCATGTATCTACTTGAGCTAAGAAGCACACTCTTCACGAGTATCATTTTATGTCTTATAGTCCAGTCTAATCTTTGTCTGAAGAGTTGGCCTCAGGAATGGCTTCAGCTCTGGGCCAACAGAGAGTCTGGGGGCCATGTCTTCTGGGGTCCCTCCAATCTCAATCAAACCAGTAAGTCTCGTGTTTGTTTGTTTTTTTTTTACTAGAATTTGAGTTCTGCACCCCACTTTTCTCCTCTCCGTCAGGGACTCTCTGTTGTGTTCTCTGTCAGGGAAGTCAGTGGTGGTAGCCAGGCACCATCTCATTCTTCTGGTCTCAGGCTGATGAAGTCTGGTTTATGTGGCCCCTTCTGCCTCTTGGGCTCATATTTTCTTTGTGTCTTTGGTGTTCTTCATTCTCCTTTGTCAAAACTCCTTTTTGAATATAATTTTGACAGTACCACTAGCACTCCTCAGCTGAGGCTCACTTACATGCGGAAGTAAGTTGGTCCTCTGTCCAAGTGAGAATACAAGTCAGACCAGTGCCTGGAGGGCCAGGTTTGGTGGTATTTCATTAAAGAGCCATCCATGTGCTTTAGACACTACACGTGCCAAAAGCAGAGACTGCCACCATGAATTTGATTGTGAGCCTATGCTTGCCAAAGTCTTGTCTGAGATACCTGATGCATGAGCAAAGTAGGCAAGCCATACATTCCCCCTGGGTTGTCTAAGTTCTAGCCCTGCATATCCTCAATTGTTGGCACTTTGAATAAAGTCTGTATATTAACTATGTTCATTTTGCTTGTTGGACAAACCAGACTTAAGATTATTAAGTTTTCCCATACTCCTTAGGTAAAGACCTATGGAAAAAAATGACCTCCTTGAAATCAGGGCCAAGAAAAAAGGTTTGTCTCTTCAGATGAATCTGTTTGCTTAGTATTATATGACAGTGAGAATGATAGCTCCAACGTGTTCACCCGTTTGTCTCCTGTGAAGAAGGTCAAAACTAGATTCACTGCTCAAATGTAGCAATTAACTCATTCTACGCACCTGGAAATATGTACTTCTCCATTCTTTTCATTGGTTTGATATTCATTTTAACTTTATGGCCTTATATTATTTTTTTAATTTTATAAGGCTAATTCAAATTCATTTTGGAAATGATGGGGTCTACGTTCTAAATCAAAGTAATTGCAGTCACCTAGAGGAGTGTGGTGGCTTCCTTTCTGGCTACCAAGCTTCTCCTCTCTTCCACAGCATCTTTTCTGACGAATCCCATTTCTCTCTGAAGGTCAGCACTTCTGTGTCCAGTTATCATACGCACATAATCATGTTTAGGAATTGAGTAACTCCTGAAGTGACCAGTACAGGGCCCTGCATACATGGGTGTCCTAAAAATGGTTTTCAGTGATGGACAGATGGACAAAGCTGAGCCGCTAAAAGGGGGTAGGTTATAGAGCTTGAATAAGAGGTAGAGATTTGGGAGCTGAAGAGGGACATGATTTAGAATGTGTGTGTATTAGCATTCCCACATTCTAGCCTTAAGGATTCTTCTTCTTGACTTCCAAAAGAAAATAAAGAAGGCCTTCTAAGGCTATAGGCCAGGAAGTACAGCAATTTACTCCAAGTGGGAAAGAGCCTGAGACCACAGATCTTCGGGACCACCAGACGAAGGCCTCAGGCCCAAGCCTTAGCTCCTTACATGCACTCCTGGGCTCCCTGGGTCAGAAGGGCTGGCTGCTATTTAAAGGCCCGTATTTTTTAGGCAGTGACCGTGGACAGAGAAAAATGAGCTAGAATGCTAGGATGAGGAAAGATCCTATTGGGGGCCCATGGAAAATTCCCAGTTTGCACCTGCGAGAAAGGCATAGTAAAATCTCCAGATGGCTGACCGGCTGGCTGGCTTCTCTCACGTATATACATCAGCATATGCACACACACAACTTACGCCTGCAGTAGGCAGTTCCAGACCAACGGCGGTTTGGAAGGCATTGCACCGACCTCCGTCCAATCAGTCGAAAACCCCGGTCACAGGAGAGTTCACAACGAGTGCCCAGGCTGCTGTGATAATTTCCTCCCTTTGGTGAGTAGCATGTGGCTTCTCCATCCTGGATGTTTAATGTATAACACCATCGGGGGACTATAGCAATAGAAAAAATATAAGCTAGAGGTATAGTAATCAAGACACTGTGGTATTGGTGAAAGGATAAACACATGGAACAATGGAACAGAATAGACCAGAAATAGATTCACACAAGTATGCCCAACTGATTTTTTGACAAAGGTGCCAAAGCAATTAAATGCAGGAAAGATACCATTTTCATCTCATGGCGCTGGAGCAAATGGATATCCAGAGGCAAAAAAAAAAAAAACATAAACCTTGACCTAAGTCTCCCACTTTATACAATAATTTATTCAAAATGGATCACAGACTTAAATGAAAAACGTACAACTATGAAACTTTTAGAAAAAAACATAGGAGAGGACTTTTTGTATCTAGGGCTAGGCAAAGAGGTCTTAGATATGACATTAAAAAAAACACAATCCATAAAAAAAATCAATAAATTGAATCTCATCAAAATTTAAAAATTTTGCTCTGTGAAAGACACTATTAAGAGATGAAAAGACAAGTGACAAACTGGGAGAAAATATTTGCACAACATATATCTGACAAAGGACTAGTATCTAGAATATATAAAGAACTCTCAAAACTCAAAGGTAAAACAAACAATCCAGTTAGAATATGGCCAAAAGATATGAACAGACATTTTACTGAAGAGGATATAGTGATGGCTGATAAGCACATGAAAAGATGTCATTAGAGAAATGCAAATTAAAAACCTAATGAGATATCATTATACACCTACTAGTATGTCTCAACTTAAAAAATTAAACAACAACCGGCAATACCAAGTGCTGATGAGGATGCAGAAAAACTGGAACTCTCGTACATTGCTGGTGAGAATGCCAAATGATAGAGCCATTTTGGAAAATATTTTGGTAGTTTCTTATAAAGGTAAACATACACTTAAACCATAAGACTCTGCAATCCCACTTTTAGATATTTACTCAAGTGAAATGAAAACCTGATTTCATACAAAAGCCTATACACAAATGTTTAGAGTAGCTCTATTCATAATTGCTAAAGCTGGTAACAACTCAAATGTCCTTCTATGGATGAATGGTTAAACAAACTGTGGGTTATCCATACAAAGGAATGAAGTAATGACATACTACATCATGGATGCATCTCAAATACATTTTGGGAAGTGAAAGAAGCCAAGGTCAAAAGACTACCTACTGTAGCATTCCATTTATATGACTTTCTGGAAAAGGCAAAAATATAGGGGCACATCAGTAGTTTCCAGAGGCCAAGGGTGGAGGTAGGGGTAACCTCAAAGGGGCAGCACTAGGCAAGGTTTTGAAGTGATGGAACTGTTCTGTTGGGTACTGTGGTGCTGTGGTGGCTTACCTAGCTCTGCATTTGTCAAAAATGCATAGAACTGTACACACACCAAAAAGAGTGACTTTTATTGTATGTAAATTAAAAATACATTAAGAATATAATACGAAGATGTAAGATAGAGGAAGGGAATGTGACATCAAAGAAGGCTTCTTAGGAATGAAAGTTTGATGCCTGCTCAGAACTGAGCACAAGAGGTTATATGGCTGTTAAATCATAAAGGCATCCTAAGGAAGAAGCCTCATTGGCTATACAAAATAAACAACTCTTCAGTGGCTTCAGGTTTTCAAGGGACACACATAAACAAAAGGAGGGCCACCTACTCACAAATGCATACAAAAGGATGGCACAGATTTGTTAGCCTAAGGTCAGAAAGGCTAAAGCCCCAAATGAGCTGATGCGCTTCCCAAATCCTAAGGGACAAACAGAAGGGGCTTCGAAAAAAGGCATATCAGGGGCTAAAGGAACAAAGACAGGCTAGAGCCTCTGCTTGAGGGCAACTGGTGAATGATGACAGATGACACTGAGAAAACTTCTTCAAGCAATAACACACTGTGGCTTCCAGCGTTAGTTTTGAGCCTGTGGCAGTGACACACGGCTGCCATCTGGAGACACCATCTCCAAATTACAGAAAGTCTCTTAAGCACTACTTTTGTAGAGCTGTTGATTATAAGGTCACAACACATATCACAAAGACCTTACAGGGAAGGCTGGGACTTCAACAATTACTCCTGTTCTATTTTTTCCCCCATATGCTGTCAAAGAAAATAAATATCAGATTGGGATGGGTAGAACAAGCAAGCATGGCAAAGGGAAATATGCTCAGGATAAATGCTGAGACAGTAAGAGACTGTCCAGCTATTGTAAATCAATTCAAATTTTCCGGCCCAGAGAAATCCTGGCATAAAGAAAACACATGTTGGAAAGCTGGAGATGGACAAACCCTATCCCAATTTTAAATAGCCTCTGGAAACTACAGCCTGGTGAGACTGACAGCATCGATCAGTAGCATCACTAGGGTTGGTGTCACCCAGTGCAGTAACTCATGGTGTCACCCATTCCATGCTAATTACCACAATACTGTAGCTAAATACACCAGAAAATTTGACAAAATCAGCGACTATAAAAACACCAGCCCCAACGAAAAAACAGCGTGAACTTGTAGTGTGTGCAGACGAAACCACATGATTTGAAGCATCATTGTAATTGGGTAATAACGACAGCTCTGACCAGAGCACATTAGAATGTTCAAAAAGTAAATTAGCCTAGAGTTTTAGCCTTGTAGGTATATTGATACGTGTAAGCTAGGCTTGTGAAAATTTTTTTGTTGTTGTAACTAACTACAGGGATATTTTTATTTAAAAAATTATAAATTTCTGCTGAAACACTGCACAAAAATTTTATAGACAGTCATTTTGGTGTCACCCCCTCTGACAGTGTCACCCAGTGTGATCTGCACCCCCTGCACCCGCCTAGTGATGCCAATGGCACAGACAGCATAGTGTTCTAGAATGCTTAAACATCAGGTTTATGTGCAGTTAGAATGAAAAATGGTGATCTCCAGGAACAAGTAATTCCAGAATGACCTCATGTACTTTTTGGGTAGAGTTACCAGACTGGTAGAGCAGGAGAAATGGTGGGTACAGTATGTAAAAGTAAGTGAGGTATGTGACAATGCCTTTCACGCTATTGATGTGGATGAGATGAAGAAATACAGGAGAGGTGACCATACAGTTAAGGAGATTCACAACTGTCTGAGCAACTGTACCCAAAAAGAGCTGATGGGAAACTGACACTAAGAATGTGGCTAAATACTGCATGGTGAAAATGTCTGGCAGGAAATATGTTGTGTCTATTGAATATCTTTTGTGTGCTAGGCGCCATGCTACATATTTTCATTTTGACACACATCATCTCATATAGTTCTCTAAAGCACCCTGTGAGGTAGGTAGATGTTTAGCCCTATTTTGCAGATGAGGAAGTACCTTGCCCAAGGTCCCTTAGCAAGTAAGTAGCAGAGCTGGAATTTGAACCCAAGCTTAGAAGTAAGGATGGCGAGACTTTGTCTCACTTACTTTGGGCATGCTATCAGGAGGGACCAGTCCCTGGAGAAGGACATCATGCTTGATAAAAGTAGAGAGGGTCAGCGAAAAAGAGGAAGACCCTCAAGAAGATGGATTGACACAGTGGCCGCAACAATGGGCTCAAACATAGCAATGATTGTGAGGATGGTGCAAGACCAGGCAGTGTTTCGTTCTGTTGTACATAGAGTTGCTATGAGTCAGAATTGACTCGACGGCACTTAACAACAACAACAATCTTTGTGGGAGCAGATCGCCAGGTCTTTCTCCCACAGAGTTGCTGGGTGGGTTTGAACCACGGACTTTTGGTTAGCAGCCAAGCATTTAACCATTTCGCCACCAGGGCTCCTTATAAAAGGTATTACCAAACCGACTGCCGTTGAGTCGATTCTGACTCACAGTGACCCTATAGGACAGAATAGACCTGCCCCAAAGGGTTTCCAAGGTTGTAAATCTTTATGTAAGGAGACTGCCACATCTTTCTCCTGCCACATCTATAGGAGCGACTGGTGAGTTCGAACCACTGACCTTTCGGTTAGCACAGCCGGCGTTTAACCACTGTGCTACCAGGGCTTCTATAAAAGGTATAACACGGAAACCACTAAAAATTCCCCCTCCCCCCCCCCCCCCCACATCCCCCCCCCACCAAAGAACCACAGTTGATAGTTTCTTTTTGCATATAAAGCAAATTTGGTATAGATTCTTATTTTTCACTCTTTTTTTTAAAACACTTAGAGTAGCATTTTATGCCCACTGTTGTCTCCATTGCTTTCTTTTTTAACAATGTGTCTTAAAGACCTTTCCATATCACTACACAGCAAGCGTACAATTTCTTTAAATGAAATAACAAGATACATAGCACAGTGCCTGGCACATTGTAGGTGTTTGTCCAGGTTCAAAGAGCTAGAAGGTGGAGAAGCTGGGATTTGAACTCAGGCCCATGGTCTCTGCTCTTTGTAGCTATTCACCTATCTCTTTTTTAGGGCTTATAAAGAAAAGGAAATGCTGACAACAGAGTTGAAAAGGCCTTCTCTGTGATAATCTTCAGATAACCCAGGCAAAGTGACTAGTTTCCCTGTGAAGAAAGCAGCAGCTCAGAGGACTGAGAACATACCTAAGATGAAGGGTTTCTGACTCCAAGCTACAAATCAGGATAAGGCATGAAAGAAAGTTCAAGATTAGTGAAAATGGTACCAAACTCTACAATGGACAGTTTGCTCCAAATTAATTTTTTTTTTAACTGGTTAGTTCTTCTTCTTTTTTTTTTTTTTAAACGAGTTACGTTTTTGATGAAAGAGATGGAATGAGCTTGGCTTTGGAGTCAGACAGGCCCGGGTTTACAATCCTGCTCTGCCGCCTCAAAGCTGTGTGACTTCAAATTTAACTTCCCTGAGCTTCAGTTTCCTGATCTGTAATATAGGGGATAATAAACCAGTTTCATAGGGCTGTTGTGAGAATCAAATGAAATTATGCATGTAAAATATCTAGCCCTGGGATTGATATTCCCTAAATCGGTGTCTGGATTTGAGCCACCATTCCATCCCTCTTTGAGCAACAACATGGTGTGGCTTTCAGCGTTTAGTTTCAAGCCTATGGCAATGACACAGTATTGCCACCTGGAGACACCATCTCCAAATTACAGAAAGTCTCTTAAGTGCTACCATTGCGGAGCTGTTGATTATGAGGTCAGAAGGATCTTACAAGGAAGGCTGGGACCACAGGTTGTACTGTTCCTTGCTGCCCTCTCCCCGCTCATCATTGATAACTTCACTCAATTTGTTTTATGCCCTGAGATTAAGTCCCAAAGACAGCTGTGAGACACTAGATCCCAAGGCCACAGGCCACCATGCAGCTTATATTCTTCTAAAGGGTTTTATACTCATTTAAAAATAATCAATGAGGCAGGCTAATATAGGGCTGCCGGACCTTTTGAAAGTAAATTCTTCATCTGTTGCTTTTTCCTATTTACTTCTCCCATTTATAAAAACCAGTTGCCATGAGTCAACTGTGACTCGTGGTGACCCCATATGTATCAGAGTAGAACTGTGCTCCATAGGGTTTTCAATGACTGCTTTTTCAGAAGTAGATAGCCAGGCTTTTCTTCAGAGGCACCACTGAGTGGACTCAACCACCAACATTTCAGATAGCAGCCGAGAGCATTTTCTGATTGCACCACCCAGGGACTCCCTCCCCTTTATAGTCTCCTACAATCTAGCTTCTCTTTCCAGGATGCCAATCAGTCAGTCAACATTTTTTGAACACCTACTTTTTACATGGCTTTGTGGGAATGTCATACATGACCCCTTCTATTAAAGAGATAACAGTTTTGTTGAGGGTAATAAAACACAACCCAAAGAGACAGTACATAATAAATGCCAAACAAGTGGTCCAGACAACAAACATTTATTTCATAAGAGGTACATAGTGGCACTCAATAAATATGCATTGAATAAATGGATGAAGTAATGAATGGATGAGGGAAAGCTCAGTGTGGGCTAAAGTAGTCAGGGAACAGAGTAGAGCAGCCAGGCTGAAGCATAGGTTTTATTTGAGGGGGAGGGGTAATAAATTGTCAGGTTGGTAAGCTAGACTGAGGCCAGATTCTAATAGAAATGGTCATAGTGGCCCACCAGGTTTGGAGAGGGAGAAACATGAGTCAGAGAATCCAGTTAGGAGGCAATTGCCATTATCCATGTATGAGGTAATAAAAATATTAATCCCATGGATTAATAAATAAATGGCAGGTCTTGGTGAATAACTGGTGAGAGGTGATGAGGAAAAAGGAACTATTAAAGATGATAACCCAAACCCACTGCTGTCAAGTCAATTCCGACTAGCAGTAACCCTGTAGGACAGGGTAGGACTGCCCCATAGGGTTTCCAAGGCTGTAAATCTTTAAAGAAGCAGACTGCCACATCTTTCTTCCACGGAGAAGCTGGTGGGTTTGAACAGCTGACCTTTCCAGTTAGCAGCCAAACACTTTAACCATTAAAGGTGATGCGGGCTATTAAAGGTAACATAGAGTTATTTTTAAGTCCAAGTAACTAGAAGAATGATGGTATCATTAGCAGACACAGGAAGGTCAGCTGATAAAGCCTTTTTGAGGGAAGATGAAAGAATTTCATTTTAGACATCTCCAAATGGAAATGTTCAGTAGCAGTTAAAGATGTAGTCCAGGAAATCAGGAGGAAGGTCAGGGTTGCCCAAAGTTCAGATCTCAGCTTCACTCTCTCATCACCATTGGGGAGCTCATCTCCTTTCTTGGCTTCAGCAGTGATCAGAATAGTGAAATGTCATGATTCCAGGGAAGTGGGATTAAGAAGAAAGGGATGTGCTCGCTGCTGCTGAGAGACTGAAGCTCAAGAAAGGGTCATGTGATTTGGTCATTGCAAGAGATTGTGAACTTCAAGAGGTATCGTTTCAGCATGGAGGTTTGTGAGTGGGTAACAGACTGTAGGGATCTGGCATCGAGAAGAAGGTAGGTAGAAGGTAGCTAGAAAGAAGCAAAGAGCCCAAAGCTCTGCTCATTTCTATATTAAAACTGTTTTTCTCAAAGTTCACCATTTACCTTCTTCTTGCCAAATATGTTTGCTTTACCTTCAATTTGATCTCTCCAATACTTGACACAGTTAATCTCTTACCCTTTCCCCTTCTTTAAAACTCTCTTTTGTGGCTAAATGTCATCTTTCATGACCCCTTCCCTGACTTCCTTTTCTTAACTCCTATTGCATTTACTGCTATGCAGGGCTTCAAACTGGTTCAAACTGGTTCAGTCATGGCCAGTGAAGTGAAACTGGAACAGACTCAAATTTTTACAATTTGGGTGATCCAGAAGGATAACCAGAACAGGAAAAATTATGGCTGAAAGCCCTGGAATGGGAGACTCGGAAGTGGCGTCGTGAGCCCTTTCCGGAGCCTGATGTGTGAGATTGTATTATTACGGGAATGTGGAGAGCAACACACATTCAAAGTGGCACGGTCAGCCGCCATTTTTGAGCATGGCACCACGGTTTTTGACTCTGCTCAAAATCCGACAGGTATGAGATTTGGTCGCTATGCAACGCATACACTGCCTTTGTTTTTTAAGAGGGAGATTAGATTCCTAGCAGGGCTTCAACCCATAACTTTTCCCATTCTGGTTATTGTTCCAGTTTACCCAAATTTTAAAAATTCAGGTCTGTTCTGGTTTCATGTCCTTGGCCATGACTGAACTGAGAAGAACCAGTCTGAAGCCTTGCTGCTACCACATAATATAATAGATACTACTCTGATCTCCTCATACCTGGATGACCACTAAAATCTCTTTTACCTTTGTTGGTACCTCTACTACTCATATCTGTAGATGTCTTCTAAGGCTCTAACCTTGGCCCTCTGCTCCCTCAAACAGTTTATCCGTTAAGCTGATGACTCACAAAGCTTAACCTTTCTATTTCCAACTGCCTATAGGACTTCTTTACCAAACTAATTTTCCTTTCTAACCTACTCTTTCTGAGAGGGGTCTTACAATTCTCCCAGGTATCCAAACTAGATTCTTTCAGATATCAGTTTTTTTTTTAGCATCTTGGTGCATCAAATCTGTACCAAGTCTTGTCATGTCTTTCTTTGAAGCATCTCTGGAGTTCATCCGTATTCTCCATTTATTTGCCACTACCATCAATCATCTCTAGTCAACATTAATGTAACAGAATTCTGGAGAGTTTCCCTGACTCAGGCTCCACCCCTCCATAACCATAACCAGGTCAGTGTTCTGAAATTACCATTTACCATGTCACTCCCCTGTGCAGGAACATAGGATGGATCTTCATGGCTCCTAGCACGACAGCTAAACTCTTCTGCATGGTTTGCAAAGCACAGAAACAGAGAAGCTTAGAATTGGAAGGGATATTAGATATCACAGAGCCTAATCTCCTTCTAATGCAGGAACCTCTATCCAGTATTCTTCACAGATGATCCTCCTGCCTCTCCTTAAAGGGTCTCTAGATCAAGGGGCCTTTCCTAATCTGGCCTCACTCTTTATATTCAACTTTGTTTTCTACTACCCCCTCCACCACCCAACTCTTCCAGTCAGGCTGGTTTCTTCCTCACTCCCTCATCTACCGTGTCTTTGTTTGTTCTTACCTCCATGTCTTTGGCCATGCTGCTTTGCATGAATGCCCTCCCCTCCTCTTTCCGGCTCTCTTAATCCTACTCATCATTTAAGGCCTAGCCTAAATGTCATCTTTCATGACCCCTTCCCTGACTTCCTTTTCTCAACTCCTATTGCATTTACTGCTACCACATAGTTTCACACTTACTTGCTCTACGTGTGCTAGTTTTATCGCTCCATCCCCCAACAAAATGTAAGCTCCTTGATGAGGACAACCCTATCTTAGACTTTGTATCACCCACAGGCTTACTTAGCACAGGATTAGGCATAGAGTAGGTACTCAGTCAATACTTACTGATTAATAATAGATGGGCAACCTTAGGGCTAGAGGGGTGAAGTCACACAGCAAGTCAGTAACCAAGTTCATGATCAAAAATCACATTCTCTGATTCCCTGAGCTGCAGTTTTGGCACATATGAGCCAAGTCTGGATGAGGGATGCTTCAGAAAAGAGCTTAGACCTTAGACCAGAAAAGACCCTTCCTGAGCCTAAGGAGCGGTGAGGATTACCTCGGTAGTCTAGGGCAGGGGCCTGTGGAACCTCTTCAGCATATACTTCATTGTAGCTTTCATCTGGATAGAAGCCTGAACCTAGAATGAAGAAGGCAATGTCAGGATGATGTATCAGTTTCTCACTCAAGCCTTTCCCCATCTTCCCCCTCATCCAACTTTGTCCCTTCCTGAGGCACTCCATAAGTGAGAAGCCAGGTAAATATTTAGTGGGAAAAATTCAGCCTTGTAAAACAGCAGAATTATTGTGGGCAAACCTCAGCACCTCAGGTGCATAGAAAGTGAGCTCATGGTCTGGGGGCTCACTGGTAACATTAGAACCCTCCATCGAAAAGAAAAGAAAAAAAAAACTGAACGTCTTGACCATCCATCAATCTAGACTATAAAATGGCCCGTTTCCTTGATATAACACATGTGTTTTGGTGAGACACTGATGACCAACCTCTGAGAATGGACTGTTGTCCCATGTAGAAGTTAAAAATAGAGCCTTAGTAAGTATCTTCCCACTAGTGACAGGCCTGCTCACAGTCCTCAGAGGGGAACAATTCCTCAAGCTCCCACTAGCCTAAAAGGCTTGTCACCTGGTTACCATTGCTAGGAATGGCATGCCAAGGCAGAGAGGGATGGCTCAAAAGGCAAAGGGGGAATCTGTACACCAATGTTCATTGCACCACTTTTCACAATAGCCAAAAGGTGGAAACAACTGAAATGTCTATCAACAGATGAATGGATAAACAAAATGTGGTACATACACACAGTGGAATACTACTCAGCAATAAAGAGAAATGAAGTCCTGATGCACATCACAACATGGATGGACCTTGAAAACATCATGCTGAGCAAAATAAGCTGGTCAGAAAAGGACAAATATTCCGTGATCTCACTTACACGATTTAAGCAAATACATAGAAACCAAAGATTATGAGTGGTTACCAGGGGTGGGAGGGAGGGGAAAGGGGGAGTTTTTGCTTAGGCGGCACTGAGTTTATGTTAATGCTGGTAGAATAATTTGGAAAGGATAGTGATAATGGTTGCACAACATGAAGAAAGTAATTAATGCCACTGAATTATACATGCAGAAATTTAAAAAAAAGGCAAGGGGGAATAAGAATAGTTTTATGAACAGTTTGTTCAGGCTTGGAGAAGAGAAAAGGCAGAGTTATTTGGAGAAGCTTCCAGTTCCTCTAATCAGCAGAAGCCTTAGAAGGGAGCCACTGAGCTAGAAAACATTCCTAATCCACCCCCCATCACCCTGTTAAGTGGCCCAGCCCCTGGTAGAGGCAGGTCTGTGGCTGTCTGGGAGACTAAACAGTGTGTTGTACCAGACTGCAGGAAATCGGTCATGAATATGAACTAATTGGAAAACAACTTGGTTCTTTACAGAATGAAGTTTCCGGAAGCGCTCCTTTCAGACTTTCTGAGCCCTAATGCATGCACAAGAATAGGGCAGCCAGCCATGCTTGAGTCAGAAGACAATTTCCCATTTCCAGGAGAGGGTGTGCTTCCTGGACAGGGCTGGGTTTTAGTGCTGGAGCCCTTTGGTCTGTGTAAACACTCAGACCACAAGCTTGTCTGCCTCCTCTCTGGGAAGAGGCACAGGGCCCCCCGCACTAAAGGGTGGAGCTGAGGGCTAGATGATGAAGTTCCTCCATTCCCCACAAGCCCAGACTGGGGGTTGGGGTGTGTGTTGGGAAACCAGTCCAACTTGGTGAACAAGGGAATGAATCAAATTGAAAGTTTGTGTTATGAAATCATGTCCTCATTGGTTTGCCCTCATTCCAGAGGAAAGAGTTCATTTTTTCTCTTTCTCTGTTTTTTTTTTTTTTTTTTCTATTTTCCTATTTCAGTTCTTCTGACTTTTCCTTTATTTCTCCCTGGACCACATCTCCCTTGCTTTCTCATTTCCCATATGGGAGGTTTCTTTGTCTGGGCGTGGAATTCTTGTCAGCTGTTTCAGTTTAGTATTAGCCTCAAAGCCTTACAGCTCCTGTAAACAGGAGGCCAGATGTGTGTGATTCCCTCAAGCATTAGGTCTCCCCACTCTTGTTACATAGCTAGCTTGTGAAGAAGTGCTCAGCAGGGAGCAAGCCTCTGTTGACCAGAAGAGAAAATAGGGGTGTCAGAGAGGTCTATGGCTGGATAACAACAACTATCACAACTGCTAATATTACTCACCATGTACCCTACATTAAGCACATTACATATATTACCACATTATGTCACCACAACATCCTGGTGAGGTAAATACCATTATTACTCTCCAGTGTACTAATGAGGAAATGGCTCATACAGGTTAAGAGAGTTGCCCAAGGTCTCCCAGATACTTTATAGTAGAGCAGGCACTCCAGCCCAGGTCTTTTGACCCCTAGATACCAAGCTCAGACATTCTACTGAAGATGGTAGTAGGGGAGAGCTTTTATTCCACAGGGATAAAAATTCCAAATCTTTCTTGCAATCCAGCCTTTTTACTCTGTATGTGTGGGATCAAAGGCCACCAAGCATTTTACATCATTTCAGAATGATGGGGATGAGGGAAAGTAGAAGAGAAGACTCAGTCAGATAATTACAGTCTCCACCAGGGTGCAGAAGTAGAAAGGCCAGTGCCAAGTTTACTTTGTGACTGGAATGGGCTCAGTCTACCTCACTCCTTTAAGTCTTCCCATTTCCTTTCTTTGCCGTTTTGGTTTTTTTATTTGTTTTTGCAAATGTTGGGATACTGAGATGGGGTGTAAGATTATAACTAAAGGGGCACCCTCCCAACATGAATCTGTCTGCTTGTCTCGCTTCAGCCTTGGTGGGTAGGGGTTTGGGCAGCATTCTTCAGTTCCCTGTAGATTAATCAGTGGCTACTCTTTGGTCTGTTACTGGGTTCCTCCAACTTCCATAGCATGGTCAGACCCTTGAGCCCTGCCCTTCACAAAGGTATAGTTGAAAATTTAATTGATAGCTGAAGACTATTTTAAGAGTCACACTAATGCTTGGCTTATGATGACAAATCCAGTTTGACTTCCTGAACTGCACAGATATGCAAATACACACCTTTAACCCAGTCTTTGCTTTATGTGTATTCTTAACCATTCCCGACTCCTGCTGATTATTCCTGGACCCTTTTCTTGATTAGCCCTCAATTCATGCTTGGCTGCCTTCCTTATGCTATTCCCATTTGAAGACAAAGCTATGGAAGTGAACAGAACAGTGCAAAATGCATAGAGAGTGCTCAATAAATAGTTGTTGAGTGAATGAATGAATGGAGGAGAGAGCTGGGTGGGCAATGAGGGAAAGCAGAAGTGGGGGAGGATTGTTGGAACTGCAAATTTCTTTCATCAAACAGCCTCCTAAGAATAGAATAGGGTAGAATGAGTGGGTTTGCAGGTCTGTCAGAGACCTCACCAGCCTCACCAGCTTGAGCTCCTTAGAAGGAGTGGTGACCCTGGTGACTCCTATGGAAATGGGCAGTGCCACCTTTGTGTCTGCAAGCCCTTTGAGAACCTCGAAAGAACCTAGATTTTTAAAAACTGCCCTTTCCTCAGGACTCCAACGGCTCAGGCTTCCATCCTGGAAAGGTAAAAGTCTTTGCACGCTATGAGGTATCATACAGGTGTTTAAAATTGGTCATTGAGGCATTTAATCTCCACTCCCTAGCCCTGTGATCTCTGACTGGATTTTGTTCTTATGTACTTGGACTGAAGCAAGGAAGAAGCTGGGGAGGACAGCTGCACATTTTCTCTGGTGCTAACGGCTTAACTTAAATCTCTTCATCTCAATGTCAGCCCTTGTGCTTCTCCCCCTCCCAAGTCAGGTTAAGCCAAAGAGGGGAAGAAGTTTGGATATTTGTTTGAAAGCTTCATGCAGCTGTTCCAGACAAACAGAGCTACTGCCAAAGTCCTCCACCAGGAGCGAAGGGCATGTGGAAAATTTTAGTTGCAATGACTGTGGCTGTGATGGGAGCAGTTTGTTATTTACTCATCTGTGGATGTTTTCCTAACCCCATTGGTTGGGCCTGTCTCCTTCCTCTACTCCCCGTATCCCCTATGAGGGAAGACACTGCAGGCCACAGAATATTCTTAGCACTTGGAATGCCAGCTGGGCCCCATCAAAAACCTCCATCTGCTGCCTCATTATCTTTCCATCACTCCTCCTCTCTTTTTCCCTCTCCTCACTGAGTCTATTCTTTTCAGCCCCCTATGTCTCCAGGGGAGAAGGATGATACATTCAGGAATCCAGAAATCTCCATCTCTTCTGAAGTAAGGAACAAGTCAGAAGAAACTGGGGAATTCTTGTTTAAGAGAATGTGACCTGTATTGCCATTAACATCATTGGCAGATTGACAGAAAATCTCATCCTATAAATAAGGTCTGGGAGAGGAGGAAGAGAGAGAGAGAGACCCATAAAGTGAGAACAAGACGGAGAGAGAATTTAGTCTTGTTTCCCTTAAAAAAGATTGCCTTTTGCCTTTCTCCCTTATTTTTTCCCATATGAGATATGTAGCCCAAGTCCTATTTTTGTGGTCTTGACAAGAATATTAAGATTTGACCTGTAAAGGAATTAATATCAGAAGCTGGTTTTCAGGAAGCTAAGTGCAGAAGCAGGTGAGACAATGACCTCAAGGGCCATCTTGTCCAACCCTCTCATTTTTGTGCCGGTCTAGCCTGTTCTCAAATATCTCTTCTTAAAACAAACAGAAAAACCCATTGCCATCAAGTTGATTCCGACTCATAGTTAGGATGCCTCAAAAGCTTCCCTTGGTAGCCTGTTGCAATGTTTAACTGTTTTTTTATTGTTGGGAATAGTTCTTCTCTGTATCTGGTCTAAGTGTCTCTAATTGCAGTCTTACTCCTCCCTCCTCCAGGTCTTGGTCCCTGCCCTGCCCTCCCTGGAAATAATGAACAACAACTCTTAGTACTTACCTGCATACCGTGTTGGTGTCACTGCTGGAGTTAGGAAGAGCAGCAGAGCTAGCACTCTTATTTGAGTCAGCTGATGGGCCATCCTTGAAAGGGGGGTTTAGGGAAGCAGGAATAGAGGTATGTGAACAGAAGTACCAGAACAAAGGAAAATGACTTTCAGGAACCAGCAATCAGTGAACTTCCAAAAGTGAGGGGATGGGATCTGCAAAGATGAAGAGAGATGTTAAAATTAATGAATGTATGTCATCCCCTTTTAGAATCTCAAGACTCTATTTGCTATATATGGTCTCTTTTCCTCCCAGGAGGAAGACATAGACAATCACCTGACCCTGGTGAGATCAGGTGCAAATGTTCCAAGGCCCAAGTTATAGAGAGGGATATTGAGATACCAAGACCAGAAAAGGACAACATAAAGTCACATAGAACCAGAAGGGAATCCAGCTCTCTCAAGGCTCTCAACTGATGGCTTCATCCATTCAACTAATATTTCCTAACCACTTATCTGGGGAAGAACTAGCATATATGGACTAAAGAGTTTGGATTCCGGAGTTACACAGATCTCTGGATCCGAATCCAATTCCTTTGCCTGTTAACTACAGGATCTTGGACAAATTCCTTACCTTATCTGAACCTCAGTTTCCTAATCTATAAAATGGGAGTCATAATACCAGTATCTACCTTATAGAATAGATTATTGCCCAGCATATACAGAAGCAATCAATATATACCTGTATATTAGATAGTATTATTGTGAACTTCAAATTGGACAGGATCGGATGTTTCCTTTCTCTAGTCTCCCAGGCAACAACTATACCTGGGCTCTGTTCTTAGCTTTGGGTTTTGAGGCTTAGTGGTTTGGTAGTGGCTTCTGTCTTTCAAGTCCAGTTTTACCCTGCTGAACTAGCAAGAAGTCAACGAGGTTAGAGAGGACCTACTGAGGTACCTGAGGAGAGGCTGAGCAGGCTTCAATTGCCTTCTCACTTCCTTTCCTGTCCTCACTCTAATGGGATGAGAGTTTTGTGGTTCCCAGTGGGCACATACTTAGTAAACTTGCTGCCCATTGGGATAAACCAGCCACTGGTCCCCTCTGCAAGCACCCATTTACCCGCACGCTTTCAATGAAATGCCATGCTCAGGGGAGGAGTCCCTCCCAGAAATAGAGACACAAAAAGATGTCAGATTCTTGCCAAAGTCCCTAAGGGACTTATGAGGTCCAAGAATGACAACCATTCATATTTCCCAGTTCATCACTACTTGGCTTCAGTTTTGTCTAGAAAGTGGTAAAGGAGCAGAAGAGAGAGAGAGTGAGAAGAAGAGAGGAAGGCAAAACAAGTGGAAAGAGGTTAAGAGGGAAGCTAGGAAGGAAAGAAAATTTGACAGAACTGAAAGAAAGAGAAAGAAAATCTGACAGAACTGAAATAAAAAGAGGGGATGAAAGGAGGAGAAAGAGGGGATTAAAGAGAGATCCAGAACATGAACAGCTGGAGAACTAATCACTGACCCCTTTCCACATCCAGCCTCAATCCAGTTCCTTTGTTCAGGAGCAGCTCCAGTACTCTGAGTCGATGACCCAGCCCATCTCCTCCCTAATCTCCGACTGAATGCTTCACTCATCTCACCGGAGTCAGCCATCCCTCAACTGTGGGCTGAGAAGGTAGTGAGCACAAGTGTCTGCAGCCAGGTTCCAGCACAAATGAAAAGCCCCTTATGATCCAGTTTCATAAAAAAGCTGCTTCCTCCCCCCCGCCTCCCACCCAGTCATGTTACCCAAATCCTGGGTCCCCCTGCCCCAGCCCCTGCTAGCCAAGGTTGTGAAATGAGGGACTGTAGTGTGGAGGGGTTAAGTAGCAGATCTTACCTGTTTTATGTGGAGGTTTTGTGCTCTCTTTCTGTCTCCTCTTTCTCTTTCTCCTTCTTCTCTGCTCCTTTCATCGGTCGAAAGAAACTCCTACTTTAACATTCCTAGAACGAGTGGCTCGTGGTCTGTCCGGGCCTCTGGGATTCTGTTAACACTGCCCAGATGTTAGGACGTCTGCATCTGCCAAAAGTTTCCTTAAAGCTATACTATCCCCAAAGATATAGTTGTTCCTCCCTCAGAGAAGGGTCTTAGAGAGAAGGAGAAGAAAGAACATGGGGATTAGAGGAACTCAGTCTGTCTGCTGCAGAGCAGGGGCAAGTGTCAATGGCACTGGCCCCAACCAAGCCCATGTGTATAGTAATGACTAACAGAGGCTGGCTAAACAGCCTCCAGAGATGTGGTGTCCTGAAGAACACTTCTTTTTTATGACTCAGCATGACATCGGGATTGAATGAGAAGGAATTTCACAAACTCCAAGAAGAGGGGAAGAGTGTAGCTAACTTTGACATTCCTGGATATTTCTCCCACCTGTAATTCCTCAGTGCTCCCCAACTCCTAGCTGCCTTGCCATCCATATAGTACAGGGTTAGACACACTTTGAAACCCTCTCACTGGACTTCGGTTTCTGATAAGATTCTGTGGTTTACAAAAAAAAATACCACTAGCTTCTTGCCTGAAGAGTCAAGACTGATTTCCTGTAATAAGAGTGGAGGGAAAGCATACCTAGAGAGGCTTTAGTGGGAGGCAGTTTAAGTGAATCTGGATGATATGTGCATGGCAAGGTTAGAGCCATCACTAAGCTGTTTCCCAGTGGTCTCTGACAGAGGGATGTGTTTCTCTTCAATAAGCAAGCTTTCTTCACTTTAGTATCGAGTAATGAGCCTATTCTACCATACCGCAGGCCAGCTCCTTACATTCTCCCTCCTCTCAGAGATGACGTTTCCATCCCTTGAAAAATCAGAGGTTGTGGAGAGATTTTTTTCTTAGCTGCTGTAGAGTTTCTCCCCTGTGTGTGCGAGCAAATCGGTAACCCTTTCTCATTTGTGAAGAGAAGAATTGTACTGATGATAATAAAAAGTTCGGTAGCTCCATTTCTAATCCATCAATCACAACCATGTATTGAATTTCTAGTATGAGTTCAACAGTGTGGTTGACATGTAAAGAAGTAGTAGACATGATCTGAACTTCATTCTTTCGGCACATTTATCAAGCATTTACTGTGTCAAGGACAGCGGAGGTTGCAGTGAACAAGGCATATACAACCTCTGACATCCAAATCCCTAATTAATCCAACAAATATTTGTTGAGCTTCTGTTTCATGCCACATACCATCCTGGGTACTTGAGAGACATCAGTGAACAAAACAGACAAAAATTCTGTCCTTACGGAGTGGAGGAGACAGCCATTCAACAAGAATGCACTTAATTGCAATTGTGTGCTTAGGGAACTGACCTTTATTGGGCATCTACTATAAGCTAAGCACTAGGGATACAGTGGTGAGCAAGACATGTGAGATCTTTGATCTCATGGAGCTTACTCTCCAGCCCCCACAAAGCTTATATTTAGTAGGGGAGAGAAGGGGACATAAATGACTAGAAAACAGTACAAGACCATACAGTGATAAAGTGTCAAAAGCTATGGTATATACTGTGAAGACTTTAGGGGGAGGGGAGAGGAGGGGGCACCTGGGAAAATATGGGCCTTGATCTGCTCTCAGGCAAGGGAAATGACATAAACAAGAGCTCACTGTTAGGTCAGAGGGGGATGGGCTAACCGGTCAAGAGGGTTCAGGAAAATGGTAGGAAACAAAGTTGAATAAATAGGATAAGGCCAAATTATGGGGTCTTTGACAATGCGATATAGGAGTTTACAGATCATGTGTTAGGAAATAGTGAATTCATTATATGGGTGAGAGAGAGAGAAAGACTGAGAGATAAACACTGAGAGAGAGAGAAAGAGAGAGAGAACAGCGAGCAATGGAATAAATTCTACCAGGGTTATCTTTCTAAACACCCCTTCACTGGCTCCCTCATGGCAAAGAATCCAGTCTGAGCTCCTTAGTATAGCACACCATACTCTTTACAAGCAAACGCCACCTATGTCCTCAGCCTAGTCTTAAGCATTCGCCCTCTGGCTCCTCATCCTGAACACACTGAGCTTCTTGCTCCTTTCATACATTGGTGCCTTTGCACAGGCACATTTACTCTCCACTGTATTCCTTTCCCTCCTCTCTTGGCCTGTTGAAACCGTATCTATCTTTGCTTCTGTGAAGTTTCCTCCCAGGCGAGACAGCAGTGGTTTACTTTGTCTTCTTTTTCCCTCACAGCACTTTGTACATGCCTCAGTTATGGGACTTTTCACACTTACATAATTGTTCTTTACTTATCTCTATCTCCTCCTAGACTGTGAGTCCCTAGAGGGCAAGAACTTTGCCTGAATCTACTTCATGTCCCCAGTAACTAACACAGGGACTAGCACATGCTAGTATGAGGAGGCTGCATAAGGCCTCACGTCACATTTAGAGCTGGAAGAGCAATACAGAAGGGTGGCAGAGAGGGGTTAAAGGGGAAAGTGGGGTGGGGGGAGGTATGGAAATCACAGGAGGATAAAAGTAAGGGGAGAAGTGAGAGGAGAGGAACAGCATTCCTGGGAAGTTCTGGGATGAGTAACATGAAAAGTTTCACCAAAAAAACAGGTAGGACAAATTCAGCAAAAACCATTTCTTCAGCACCCACTATGTATGGAAAACACTGTTAGACACTGTGAGGATATAAAATTAAATAAGACAGACACCTCTCCGTAAGATTTGCTTCAGAAGACAAACACACAAAGATACTGACAATATCCAATCATACTAAATTTCCTGAAGTTTGTAAAGTTCAGCTTTTAACTTTTTAATATTCAACTTCAAGACTTTTAATATGAAGTCTCTAGGCAGTCAATAAGATATTGTTTTAAGAAATATTAATTATGGAAACTGACTTGCCTAACTGAGATCTTAGCAAAGCTTAACAAGGTTAGATTAGAAACAACTTTCTGGGAATAGGGACTAAGGCTAATTGACATGGAATTGTGAATTGTAATACCAATCAGAAGTATTTCTCATTTCTATGTGTCCCAGACTGTAAGTTATGAGCTTTTTGAAGAAGGGGAGATCAGGGCTGGAAAGAGAGGAAAGGATTCATGGAAGATCTGAAAGGAGTGGATGGGGAAAAAAAGTGAATGAAAAATAGACACAGAAGAGAATTTCAGAGAAAGAATAAATAGGAATACACAGAAGACAATAGGAATAAAAAAGATATTCTTCTTCAGGAAGCTAATTTTTAAAACTGTAGATGTGAATTATCTGTTTAAATGATGAGGGGGCAATCCGATGGCTGTAATATAAAATATGAGATATTTAGAAAATAAGTAGGAGGTGCTTTCAAATTTCATGACAGATACTTTGCCAAAGGTAATTGAAGGGATGCTAGAAAAGGGATTAGAAAATGAAAATGGTAGGGTTATAATGTGAATAAGAGATAAGTTGTATTCTGAGTGTAATGGTTGGTGTCTTTGTACTAGTTCTTAAGACAGAGAGTAGTAATGTCCTAAGACATTATCCAGCAGCTCTCCTTAATTTTTCTGTTTTTTTGACAGTGTGATACTGGGATGGCCTAAATATTTCATTTTTTATTTAACTTAAGTTATCCAACCTTGAGTGACTGCTATGTGGTTGCCCTCAGAGATCAATTATGACCAATATGCTCAACAGGGATTGGCTGAGCCCCAACTATGAGCTCATCAATAGAGTATTATGTCCTAGGGTACTTGGGAGAATATAAAAGAGAGCGCAGGAGCCCTGCCACACTGGCTTTTCCGTAGTTTCTGAACATCTAGACGGCAGGATGTAAAGCAGGCAAGTAGAAATGCAAAGCAGGTACTGTAGTCATTGACTAAGGGTTTGAGCAATTCATGGTCAGACTGAGTTTTAACGTCTAGAAAGAGGTGTCTGGGGGAGCAGAATTGGGGTTGAGCTGGACCTTGAGTAGCGGGCAGGAATTTTGAGTGAGTTTGGAGGGTGGGCAGGGAGTAGGCTCAGGCCTTGCTTATTGGGGAGTTAATCATACTAGCCTGTTGTGGAGCAGAAAATTCATGTTGGAAAAGCTATAGGAATTAAATTGAGATTGTATTTGTTGAGTTTTACTCTTGCCTTCTCTCCAACAGCTCAGTCACCTAGGAGGCAATCCTGCCTATCCCAGACTGATGGGGCAGAGAGTTCAATACTTTGTCTTTCTGGTTCCACTTCTTAATTTCTCCCTCTTTCTGATCACAAAATTACATATTTGATGCTGAAACCTTGGGGAAAAGGAAAATACTTAACTATTGTTGCTGTTTGTTTTACATTCAACATTTAGTAGGGAGTCTTGCGCTTTCCTTATTAGCTTCTTGTCACCTTCAAGATTAGGTTTAAATGTCTTTCTTTGGCATTTGTTGAATGTAGAACCAGCAGCAATGATACTTAAGGAAAGCATTTTCCTCCCCCTCCTCTCACGTTTTCTGCATCAGACATGTATTTTTGTGATCAGAAAGAAGAGGAAATTAAGAGGTTGAACCAGAAAGAAAGTATTGAACTCTCGGCCTCGCCAGTCTGGCATAGGCAGGATTACATGCTAGGTGATTGGGCTATTGGAGAGAAGGTAAAAGGAAAACTCAACAAAAACTCCAAGCGCAAGGCAGAATAGGGGAAAACCATCGAGGTCCTTGCACTTCGAGGGCTCCAAAGAGCCCTTGTTCATGGTTAAATGCCTGAGTACAGCAGTCTTTGCTTGGGTTATTCCCAGGCGACAGCAGTTTGTACAACAGCAGCCACGTCTCATCACAGAGTAGGCCCCGTTTCCAATGAGGGAAACTGAAGTTGGCAGGGCTTTAGTCCTAGGCAAGTTACTTAGCTACTGAACCGGTTTCTCCATCTGTAAAATGTGGACCATAGTAGTCGTGACCTCATAATAGGGCTTTTGTGATGTATGCATGAGGTAACACGTATCAATCACTAAGCAACAGTGCTTGGTACATGGTCAATGCCCAATATTACAGTTATTAACACTTTAAAGAATAAATTTATTTTAGGGAAACATTTTTAAAATTGATTAGATGGGATTAGATGCCTCTTTGGTCTGGGTTTGGATCAAGACTGAGGCCTAGGTTTGGTGGCATGATGGTGGGGGGTGTAGCAGGGTGGGAAGCAGTGGTGTAAGGTGTTGTGGCCATAGGAATATTCATTTTCATGTCAGCTTTTGGTTTAATTTGGCACCGGCTGTTGTTCAAACAAAGCAGCGTTGTGAGTGGCAGAGGAAGGGAGCGGAGAAAAATCAACACATTCTTGGAAATGAGATGTAGCTTGTGCTTTAACTATTCAATTTTTTTCTTTAGCTGCAGAAATGTTTCTTTGCTCTCAGGTTTACAACAAAAATCCCTTCCAGGACATGGTACAAACCAAAGCTTCAGGGGAAATTTCCATTAAGATGACAAGAAGTTAGCAAGACTACCCTTAATACTTGTTTGTTTTTTAGTACTAGGACCCCTCAGATAAGGTCATTTTAGCCTAGGGAGAAAGCTTTCATGTACCTAGAGCCCCTCTCAAGGTCATCTTCTATAACTATGGCCTATGCGATACTTTAAATGTTGAATATCTGCCACATTTCTTGATGACTTTGCCTCAAAGTGTTTATAGGTGTATCATTTATCCATTCTCTCTGTGTTTGTGTTAAGCCTTTCTAATTTTAGGGTACAATTTTAGTATAAAGCCTGGCAGTGAAAAGAATTCATTCTCTGGTAGTTGTTCCCTTGGACGTCAAAGGTCTGGCATGATGTTACAGGAACTAGTCCTAGGTCAATATTTGAAGCACAGTGAAGCTCTGTGACCAAGTCAATGGAACTTTCCTATTTTCTGGTTCTGTGGTATATGTTTAAAGCAAGGTTTCAAGCAAAGTAGTTTGACTATCCACCTCTCCTCTACCAGTGCAGGACTTTTTGCAATAGCAATATAGTAAAATGCCATTGTGTAGATGATGGAATAGATTGGATAGGGAACGGATGTTGCCCTCTAACCCCATCCCCTTGAGAAATAGCACACACCAAACTTTGGAATTCTTTCAATAACTGATGATGGTTTCCCACAATTCATTCATTCTTATGCCCATTTTTTATCTAGGGGGAAAAGAAATCAGCCAAATCCCACCACTCAGAGATAAATTTCACTTTTCAGTGTTTGTCTAAACACGTGACTGTACTTATTGCTTTGTCATCTGCTTTTTTTTCTCCCTCTCTTTGGAAGTAGATTTCTTGTGGATATTTTCCTATGTTATAAGATATTCTTAGGTCACGTTTAACCTTTTTGTTCCTTTTTTTCCCTGTAGGGTGCCAGGGGCCGGAGAGGCCGAATCTTTCAGCGCTGCTGGCACTGCTGGTGATAGAAACAATATGATGAAGTTATAAGGGCGGGGGGGGGGGGGGCGGTGCGGGTAAGATTCTTGGAAAGCGAAAACATGAAGAACGCTCCACTTCAAGACCTGTGCAATTTCCGACACTAGAACCTTTGTATATAGTTTTTAGTAACCTTCTGCAGGGGGCGCTCGGCAATGGTCGCCCCTTTCCGGACAGCCTCCCGGACTTTACCCTCTAGAAAATTGCACAGTGTTTCCGGCTCTTCTCAGTTGTAGGCGCTCGTAAGGTTTCGGCAGTTTCCGGAGAAACTCGGGACCTTCGCGGCTCGCTGGCTCAGTTCCGATCGCCTGGCGCGGTGGTGCAGGGTCTTAGGCGAGTCATGGCGTCCCCGTCTCGGAGACTGCAGACTAAACCAGTCATCACTTGTTTCAAGAGCGTCCTCTTGATCTACACTTTCATCTTCTGGGTGAGAAACGGCGTCGCGCGGGGACTGGGAGGGGGATCCCAGGCTTGGGTGGGAGGTGTGACCTCGAGCGGAGCGGAGGGCGCCGAGCCTCAGGTCGGGGGTGGGGAGGGAGGCGCGGGACCCCGGCGCTGGCGACCAGTTGCTGGGGCCCGAGCTCGGCCAGAGAGTCTGGGGGGTGCAGGACAACGGCAGCCGGCAGGCTGGGCTGGGACCCATACGTGCCTGGCGTGCGAATTCCATGCGGGGCGCGAGGAAGGGGAGCACGGAAAGGGTCTCCCCGGACCGTTGGAGAGGCAAGGCTTGCTCGGCCCCTCTGAGGGCTCGCTCGCTTAATGGTCTTTCTCTTTTCACTGCTTCGTAAGAGGGGAGTATTGCGCAGGTAAGTATGGGATCGCTCCGCTCCCGCCAATCTATCCTCGAGCTGGCTTTTGTGTACCATCCCTTTGTACCTGAGGCTGGGGATGGGGGAGGGAAGAGTTTCTGGAACTCAGAAACTGTTTTTTTTTTCCCTCCAAGAAAGTTTTCTTAAGGAAATTTTGATCCCTAGGGCAAATATCCCATGGACTTGTGTTTACACAAAAAAAACGATGAAGTTTAAGAATTTTGATAAGATGCCTTGTCTGGTTGCACCCTGATTTTGCCCTACCTACGGCTATCTAGGAATCCAGTGTAGATTTATCGCAGCCTGCCCTTGTGTGCACATCCCCTTCCTATTCTCTTCCCTTCCCCCTCCCGCCCTTATCTGCGGTCACCAGACTGCTCAATCTGTTCTGACTCCTATTGTCTTAAATACCTAGGGGTTTATGGTTTGAAGATGCTGATGCTTACAGTACATAACTGTTTCTATTCTGTGATTTCCCACATAGATCACTGGTGTTATCCTTCTTGCCGTTGGCATTTGGGGCAAGGTGAGCCTGGAGAATTATTTTTCCCTTTTAAATGAGAAGGCCACCAATGTCCCCTTCGTGCTCATTGGCACTGGCACTGTCATTATTCTTTTGGGCACCTTTGGCTGTTTTGCTACCTGCCGAGCTTCTGCGTGGATGCTAAAACTGGTGAGTCCTGCGAATTGATTCTTGGTTTTAGAAAACTTTTGTGTTTGAAGGTTTTGTTTTCTTGGAATTGGCCAGAGCCCTTTACAGTGTTTCCTGTTCCTTAAGAAAACTTACCAGCAGTTGAGCTGCCAATTCCCACTTTCATTTTGTTAACTGTGTTTTCCTTGCCCTCAATAAAAAATATGCTGACTCCCTTTGCAGCTGGGATATATCTTATTTATGCTGACTTGGACTTTCTTTTTATCCCTCAGTATGCAATGTTTCTGACTCTCATTTTTTTGGTCGAACTGGTCGCTGCCATCGTAGGATTTGTTTTCCGACACGAGGTAAGTGCGATTTGGGAACCTTAATATGTGTATTTACTTACAGCTGTATTTAAAGCTTACTTTTCAACTTAGAATTCAGAGTTCCTGATTCCACCCTGGGGGAGAAAAGTTGATACAGTAGTATACACTGCCCCTTGAATAAAATACATGTTATCATAGCACTTTGAACTTGTAATAGGTAGACCACTGGTCAGATGCAGGTGTTTCTTCTTTGACCTAGGAACCAAAAGAACTTTCTAGAACCTTTGTTTACTGACATTGTATTTCTTTGCTGTAGATAAAGAACAGCTTTAAGAATAATTATGAGAAGGCTCTGAAGCAATATAACACAACAGGAGATTATAGAAGCGATGCTGTAGACAAGATCCAAAATACAGTAAGTAGTTACACTTGGTGGCTTCTTAAGAAGGGAACACATTCCCTATCCCCTCAGAGAGGAGGATATTATACTAGTGCTGACAGGCCCTACCCAACTGAGGACGGCCATTTTAACATATTAGAATGGAGATCATAGAAATAGAGCACAAATTACAATCTTAAGATGATGCAGGTTAAATATTATAGTTTAAAAGTAGTAATATGTACTGTAAGTGCTTTTGTTGGATTTTTCAGTTGCATTGTTGTGGTGTCACCAAATATACAGATTGGGAAGATACTAAGTATTACTCAGAACAAGGATATCCCAAGAGCTGCTGTAAAACTGAATGTTCTTCGACCAGAGATGCAAGTAAAGTAAACAGTGAAGTAAGGAGGGTTTTTTTTAATTATTCAAGAATATTTATTAATTATTCAACAATACTTCAGTACTTAAACAATTAAATCCAGAGTTGACTTGACTTGAGTTCACACAACTAAAAAAACATTTTTTAACGCATAATGCTAAAGGTGGAAATGGTTGGGAATAAGAGTCCATGCCCTTTTTTTTTTTTAATTCTGTTGCAAGCATTGTGCTTGAAAAAACACTGTTTTTTATATGAAAGGGAATAGATTTCAATAAAACAGTGAAAGGCTACATAGTAGCTAAAGCTTAATGTTTGTTTTCCTTCCTTTTAGGGTTGCTTTATAAAGGTAATGACCATTATAGAGTCAGAAATGGGAGTTGTTGCAGGAATTTCTTTTGGAGTCGCTTGCTTTCAGGTAAGTCCTTGTAGTTGCTTAGGAAATGCTTTGACCCTCTTAGAAAGATGAGGCTACCACGTTTAGGCTTAATGGCCTTGCTTCAGGGGTCTGGATAGTGAGGGCATTTTCAGAGAAGCCGCATATTTTGTGAAATCAAAAAAAAAAAAGTAAAAGCATTGATATAATTCATCTTGACCTATATAATTGATTTTTGAAAGTCTAGTTTTAATATATTTCTAAAATACCATGGCATGTCTCTAAATCTGCACTGGCTAATACAATAGCCACTAGCCACCTTTGAAAGATTGTAATTTAAATAAAATTAAAAATTCATTTCCTCAGTTCTGGCCATATTCCAAGTGCTCAATAGCCACATGTGGCTAGTGGCTACCATTTTGGACAGTACAGGTATTAACGTTCCAAGAAAATCTCTGCCCTTAGAGTAAGAAATTTTTTCCAAAACTTTGACTCCTGAATTTTCATTGAGTGCTTTTTGTCAGTGACAGCAGTGGTAAAACATCACTTACATTCTGTATTCACTGTGTAGGGAATTACAAGTGAAAAAGAAAAGAAAATAGACCTATCTTGACCTCTTTAATCTCTTTTCTTGTGTGTGTTTAATTTTGCTCATATTTTATTTCCAGCTGATTGGAATCTTTCTCGCCTACTGCCTTTCCCGCGCCATAACAAATAACCAGTATGAGATAGTGTAACCAGCATATCTGCAGGCTTACTCCTCTCCAGCTTTAAAGTGAGTTCATTTTTGTCCTCAGCTTGGTTAGTGTTGTTTACTCCAGTCCATGCCTATGATGGACTGAGTTTGCCAAGAAGGTCTTGTCCAACAGTGTATTCAGATCTTGTTGGGGCTCTGTCAGTCCTACATGCCTAAATAGAAGGTATGACCAAAAAAAAAAAAAAAAAAAAACCCCACAATTTTTTAGCTACAACTTGCCTGCATGAGCTTCATTTATGCAAAAGAACAGCCCTCTGGGTCTACATACACATGTCAGCCTAAAGCTCATAAAGAATCCCATATTGGCATTTTCCCTAGTCTTTTACCTAGCTGTCATTTAGGAATACTGGCAAATAAATTAATTTTTTTTCTTTAGTTTTAGGACACTTAACGTCAACCCTTAGAGAAAGAAATATAAGATCGCCTGACTGGAAGACCACTGACGCTGCTTACCAGTAGACTGAAAAACTGCTGAGACTACTTACCAGTAGACTGATTCAATCAAGATATTTGTCCAGTATGTTCTAAGTCCACCTTCTGTCCCATTCACATTAGATCTTTGAAGCGCCCCCCTATCACCCTGAAACACTGGAAGAGCTAGTAAATTGTAAACAAAATACTATGTTCCTCTTGACTTATTTTTCTCACTGTAGGGTCTTTTTTTTTTCTTTTTTACTAAGGGGGTCTTTGAAAGGCTATTTTGAATGTGCTATTTTGATGTAGTGTTGTAAGAAGGAATTGACCCCTCTAAATGTAGTGTAATAGAAACTTGACCCCTCTGAGCTGCCCCCTTCCCAGCCAAGGTTATCTGGTTTGATTGTATTTTGCATCAAGAAGTTGAAATGCTGTCATTAGAGCCAGAGACTCACACTGTGTAATACAATTATGGTCAGTACTTGGATAGCACTCATCAGAGTTGCCAGGTGGTGGTAGTGGTCTCTGACCTAACGCACTCAAGACTGAAAGACACTGTGTTCTGGGACACATCAGGTTTCAGCACACTTACACTTGCCTCCAAATTAAGGTGTTTGTACTCATGTTTATATTTTCCCTATTGTCTGAAAGGTTCTAGTCACTACTTTAATGATGTCGGAATTTATTGTATTTTCCTTAGGAATTTAATTTCATTAGCTTTAGCTGATATTTTCTTACTGGGTTGATATGCTTGGTCAGCTTTAGTAGTCTTAGTTTTGGCTTGTGCTTTTCATTAATAAAACTTTTACAGAATAAATACTGTAATCAATAAATATTGTTTTCCTCTTAAATAATTGTGTTTTAACTTTTAGAAAATCTGGTATGGTTGTTTTCTCCTGAGAAAGCTAAGCCACGCATTTATACTTAGGGTACAGGGTTTTTTATTTTTTATTTTTTTCATTTTTTTCAACTTTTATTACCTTCAAGATTTTTTTTATTGTAAATATATAGGTACCAAAACATTTGCCAAAAAATTTGCTGTTTCAACAATCTTCACAGTATAGTTCAGTGACTTCTGTGTTCATCATGTTTAATCGTTACCCTTAACAGAAGCTCAGTATCCCCTAAGCATTGTCTTCCTTTCTCCCTCCTACCACCTTGGGGTAAAGTTTTTAGATAGGAAGGGTAAATCTGAGGCCTTGACTGTCTTTTAAAAAAATTAATAATCTCTGTTTATAAAAACTATTCCCTGTGAAAGGGTTATGTTCCATGCTACAAAACAGTGTAGACTTGGTATTCTGAAGATCAGACTTTTTTGAGTGTATCATTTGTGCTAAGAAGTTGGAGAGGGATATGATCTGTATGTATCTTCAAGGTAATAAGGAAATTAATAATTGTTAAAATTTCAGTTGAAGTGGGGAATTATTTATTTGGTTTCAGGTTTCTTTATACATCCATTGGTGGAACTATTTTCTATTGCTACACAGTGCATAAAAATCCCTCAATATTGAAAAACTAGGAAAAAAATAATGGAAAGAAGAGAAAAAAAAAATCACACATCCCACCTTAAGGTTTGTTTTTTGGATGGCCAGTTATAAAAGTCCCTTTCAGTACACGTGACTAGCTAATGTATATACATGCACTGCCCCACAGGATTTCCTAGGAACAGCTGGTGGATTCGAACTGCAGACCTTTTGGTTAGCAGCCATAGCTCGCTGTAGCTCTTAACCACTGCACCACCAGGGCTCTGTGTATGTGCATGCTGGATTGCAATCTATTCTGAGAGTAATGAGTACCCTGGTTTCACCTGATTATAACTGGTGGCAAGAAAAGTTCACGCATCCTTAATAGGTCGCTAATTAGAATAGCTGGTTATGGAGAGGGGATCTAGTGATGTAATTCAAGCATAACCTGCTTCTACTGGAGGCAGTAGGTCTGTGTCTTTCCGCAGGGACAATAATTGCACTCTGAGTGGCCTGTGGCCTGAACTCTGGGCTTTATTACAAAATTCCTTTGAGGGTTAAAAAAAAAAAAAACAGACGAATTGTACATATTACTCCACAATAGCTGCACATTTAAATTTAAAATAATGCCCCTCCATCTTCTATGTGCCAAATGTATCCTGTGGGTTATCTTACCTCCGGGCACCAGTTTGCTGCTCCAAGGTGGCTCTGAACTCCACTTTGAGAAGCTGAACTATGCAGACATACTTTGTGAAAATGTGGAAAGCTTCGTAGCTTTGGCCTATTTTATGTGGGTTTTTGGTTTATGTTGTGTCAAACTTTTGTGGAAATAAATGCCTCACACAAGGTTTAAATACTATTTCTATTTTTCCTCAGAGTTTACACAAGATTCTTGTGAAACCTGATATTTTTAACCCTCTGTTTTTAACCCTCTGTCAGAATCTAAAAGCTGATACTTTGCCAAGTGATAGGGCCAACCAAACCTGTTAAATTATGAGATACAAAAAAATGTATACTTTTTTTGTGGAACAGGAAAGTTTGATACCTCTGGACTATTCAATGTGGGCTTTTGTTTGCAGGGAAAAAAAAATCTAACACAAGATATATAAATACTGTCTCTTGTTTTCATCACGGCTTACATAAGATACTTTGAGATTTGATTTTTTTAAAGATTTCTGCCCTTCTAAGTTGACACTTTGCCTGTGATGTGGCCAACCAGACCTTTTTTAATTAAAAAAGGAAAACAAAAGGGCTAGTTTATCAGAAAAGAATATATAAACTCAAACAGCTACAGGGAAATGAGACTTTCATTTTTAAGCCACCAGTTTAAAACTTAGTCCAGATTGCTTGTGAGAGAGAAACCATTATGATTTAATTGCAGCTTTTCTATTAGGTATCCCCTACCCCATGGAGCTTAGTAGAGTTAGGCACTTGTAAGAGCATAGTAAATGCTAATGGAATAAATGAATGAGCGAGTGAATCTAATTATAATGGCTCTTTAATGTTCTGTGTGAAATAAATTGTTGATCTAAATATCTCATTCTATATAAGCCACTGTTTATATAATAGAGAAACCACCTGCCCCGTCAGAACCCACTTAACCTCCTACAGTTGGGCTCCTGGCCTTATCACTCCACAGGAACTGTTCTGGGAAACCACTGCTAACTTCCTCCCGGCCAAATCAGTTTTTGCTGCTTCTCTTTCTTGAGCTCTCTGCTGCATCTGATTTTTGTTTTGACCTTGTGATATCCTGCTTTTCTTCCCTTTTATTGCCTCTTCTAGTTTCCTTTGCTGTTTTAATTTCCTCCTACTTTTCAAGTGAGGTTGCCCTGAAGGGCTTGTTTTTGACTTCCTGCCCTTAGATTATGCTTACCTTACTTCAAGAATTAAATGGATGTGATCGTAAGACCTAGTTTCTTACTCTCTGGTTTTGCACTTTAGTTGTGTGTTAGTCATAGCAGTTTGCTTGTACCCACCTCCCCACCTAAAACTTGGCATTCTGAACACTTCATAAAAATTGAAAAACATTCCTACTCTGACATCTAGTACATGGATAGTAGGCACTCATTTGATGTTGACTGAGCTGGCTCCTTCACCAGGGATGACACAGTTGATAGAGGTGGGGGGAAGTAAATCAGTTGCTCAGAGTTGATTATTGCTGACTCTGCCACATGGATTTATCAGTGACCATGAGTTCTTTGGGTAAGATTGTTGTACTTGATGTGTTGGTGCTCTCACTGCCACGTCCTCAAAGTTTTTATCAAAAAAAAAAAAAGCGATTAAAGTAGTGAGTTGTAAAAGGTCTTCTCTCTTCCAACAGAAGTTTCTCACCACCTTTTCTGGAAAAGATAAGCCTAGCAGCAAAATACTCGAAGCAAATCAAACTGACATGATGTTTGCCTGGATATAGACAATCAATTAACAAGTAGGTGTATACAGTGCATCGTAGGTGACACGACTACTCGGAATCATCACTAGAAAGATAGAATAGGTACATTTTGTAAACAGGGCAGCACCCCTGGGGGTACAGTATAAGAGATTCTGACAGGTAAGCGATGGCATCCACACCTTTTCAGTCTATCCACAAAAGCTGTGCACTTCCTTGGCAGGAAAATGACATATGAGAGAAGGTAGACCCTTTGCATGAGAACTTTTTTTTTCCCTACTCAGTTTCTTCTCCTCCAGGGGGGAGGTAAGAGAACTACTGTTTACTGAGCACTTACTAATTGCAAGATATTGTGCAAAGTGTTTCAATCCATTTTTCAGATTAACAACAATAAAAAAGCTGAGGCTTAGATTAAATAACTTGCCCAGGGTCACACAGCTAGTAAATGGCAGATCAGGGATTTGAACTTAAATCTGCCTAACTCCGAAGCCCATGGTTTTTTTTTTTGTTTTTAATTGTTGAAAAATGTGTATGTAACACAGCATTTGCCTACTCAAAGCCCATGCTTTTATCATTGCATTTTGCTGCCTCTTGATAGCAAAAAGACATTGGGGAGTATGTAGCACTACTCCATAACCAGGGAACAGAAGTAAAGAAGAAAAGATTAATTAGTCTTTATTGAATATTAAATCATTTAAAAGGAAACCTTCTTAAAAAAATAGTATCTTATTTTCTCACAGTGTACCCTCATAGGGTGTTAGTAAAGAAGTGCTAATTTATAATTAATATATAAATACATATTAAAAACAAACCCATTATTCTGAGTAAAATAAATTAGACACAAAAGGATAACTATTGTGTCTGATTTATTATTCAGACAATATTCAGATCAGGCAAATGCACAGAAACTGAAGTTTATTAGTGGTTACCAGGTGGGAGGAGGGACTAGGGTGTCATTGCTTAGGGGGCACTGCGTCTCTGTTAAGGGTGACGAAAAAATTTGGAAATACATAGTGGTGATGGTTGAACAACATGGAGAACATAATGTCACTGAATTGCACACATAATAATGGTTGAAATGGCAAATCTTTTGTTATATATATTTCACCACAAGAAAAATTAACAAAATAGACAAAAAAAAAACAAAACAAACCCTGTCCTTGCTCCCCCAGCCCCACATTATCAAACCAAGGAAATGATTACAAAGAGTTAATCACAGTTTAAACATTAATCCCCCCATTTTCTTTTAATCATTTTATTACAGTCTCATGCTCCCTGAAGTCTATAAGCTAATAATTCCTGTGTTAGTTAAGATACTCTACAACACTTAGTTGCTTTCATAATTTATTCTTTTGTGAATACCTTTATTAAGTGAAATAATATCCCAAACAACAAATCTCTGCTACACAAAGATGGTGCCTGGCTAACACTGTGGGCCACTCTGACCGGGATCACAATAGAAGGTCCCGGATAGAACGGGTAAAAAATGTAGAACAAAATTCAAATTAAAAAGAAGAAGACAAGGCTTTTACTGGTCTGAAAGAGACTGGAGAACTCCCGAGACTACTGCCTTAAGACAACCTCCTAACTTGAAACTGAAGACACTCCCAGAGGCCACCCTTCAGCCAAATAATAGACGGGGCTATAAAATAAACAATAACATCCGTGAAGAGTGTGCTTCTTAGAAAAATGGACTATATGAGACCAAAATGGTGACATTTGCCCAAAACCAAAGATGAGAAGACAGGGAGGGACAGGGAGACTGGAAAACTAATTTGCTATGTGAACTTTCACCTAAAGCACGATGAAATGTTAAAAACAAAACACCCCAAAACAAACCTCTGCTACACAGATACACACATCTGCTGGAGGTAGAATCACTATCACCCTGTAGGCACAAGTCCAAACTAATGCTTTCATTAATCGGGT